AAGCTAGTTGATCAGCTTCGACTTCAACTTCCTCTCGGCGGGTCTTGATCGTCAGTCTAAGGTCTAAGCAATTTCTTTCACTTTTGCTTTCTTTTCTATTCGAGTGCGGAAAGTGAAAATTTGTCCGGCTCGTGAAACAAAGCATCGATTGACCCATCGATTCTTGGGGCCCATTTGCATTTGAATGGCGGCTGACGATGATCAAAACGAAGACGACGCGACATCGGCCCAGCTAATGTTGGCTATTGCTACCACATACCGTTATACAGCGCTCAATGCTAGCGGTGTTCTGTTTTTGATAACAAAGCCCAAAAAGTAAAAGTGTCGAGACCGCCCTCCTCCGGCCCTGCCCCACGACCCCTCCAACCGCTACAGCCAGCGCGGCCAAAGTCAGAAATAACTCACAGCAGGGAGAAACCGTCAATGAATCGACTTTGTAGCAATAGGGCAAGAGATTGGTCTATGGTATTTGTATTTATGTATGTATGTATACAAAGTTTATATTTATATACGTATGTATACAAAGTTGTTCTGACTAACTTATTTATTGACTGACTGACTGACTGATTGACTAACTGACTGGCTGATATCTGTTTGCTTAGGTCCGGAGAAAATCACCATTCGCAAATAAAATAATTTCGTTTATCTTTTATCATCTATTTTCAATCTTGTTTCTTGTATCTTGTCTTGTATCTATATCTTATATCTTTATCTGTATCTTATATCTGTATCTCATATCTATATCTTTTTTCTATATTTTGTATCTGTATCTTTTATCTGTGTCTTGTATCTAGTATCTAGTATCTAGGATCTAGTATCTAGTATCTAGTATCTAGTATCTAGTATCTAGTATCTAGTATCTAGTATCTAGTATCTAGTATCTAGTATCTAGTATCTAGTATCTAGTATCTAGTATCTAGTATCTAGTATCTAGTATCTAGTATCTAGTATCTAGTATCTAGTATCTAGTATCTAGTATCTAGTATCTAGTATCTAGTATCTAGTATCTAGTATCTAGTATCTAGTATCTAGTATCTAGTATCTAGTATCTAGTATCTAGTATCTAGTATCTAATATCTAATATCTAATATCTAATATCTAATATCTAATATCTAATATCTAATATCTAATATCTAATATCTAATATCTAATATCTAATATCTAATATCTAATATCTAATATCTAATATCTGATATCTAATATCTAATATCTAATATCTAATATCTAATATCTAATATCTAATATCTAATATCTAATATCTAATATCTAATATCTAATATCTAATATCTAGTATCTAGTATCTAGTATCTAGTATCTAGTATCTAGTATCTAGTATGTAGTATCTAGTACCTAGTATCTAGTATCTAGTATCTAGTATCTAGTATCTAGTATCTAGTATCTAATATCTAATATCTAATATCTAGTATCTAGTATCTAGTATATAGTATCTAGTATCTAGTATCTAGTATCTAGTATCTAGTATCTAGTATCTAGTATCTAGTATCTAGTATCTAGTATCTAGTATCTAGTATCTGATCTAGTATCTTGTATCTTGTATCTGTATTTTTGACTGTATCTGTATTTTATTTTATATATTATATCTCGTATCTTGTATTTTGTATCTCTAATCTCCTATTTTTTCTCTTCTATTTACCTTCTTTATTGTTTCACTGATTGGACTACTATATATATATAAGTGTATATATTGGTATATCATATGGGCAGCTATCGAGCCGTGGTACAGCTTGTAGAACTTTTGCATGTCGCTCAACTCAGGCGTGACGCTGATTCTCCAACAGACTTTGTCCAGGAGTTGAGCCGCTGAAGTTAGTAGATAGTAGTACTAGTTAGTAGCTAGTAGCTACTTGCTAGCCATTAGTTTAGTCAGTCAGTCAGCTCAATGAGCAGGGAGTGCTCAAGTGGGCAGCTGGTGCGTTTCCATTGAGTGAGCCGATGGGGAGCTGGGAGTAGTTATATTTCTTGGTCTTCTTGAGTCGATTGAATGCTTATGGCTCATGTAAAGCCCCTGTCTAGTCGAAAACTTCTGTTTCCTCTGTCAGGTCTGTCATGCGAGCGGCTAGGGCGTGATTCATGCTCAAGCAGCGTAAAGCGTTTTCGTGATTTCTGGTTCAATGGCTCCACTCCGCAACTCTTCGCATCTATAGCTCCATAGCTTCGGTGAATGTCACCGCCCGTATTTCGGGGCCTGATGAAACATGCGCATTGTCCCTCATTCCCTATACAATTTTGTTCGCCTCTTTTGTGTGTTGGCGCGTGTGTGTGTGAGTGTGTTTTTTTTGACAGTCCTCGACCTTCGCAATTTTATTTCTGTCGAGATAATTTCATAATCGCTTGCTCAGATTTTGCTTTATAACGAAGTCAAAGCTCAAATTGAAATGGAAATGGAAATGAAAATGAAGATGAAAATGTCAAAGATGACGTTCATTAGCTGAGGCTGACTTTCGGGCCAATCCACTGACACTTGAGGCCTGCAATTAAGAGACCTCTCCAACTGCGGGCCAAACAAGTTTCAGTTAACACAACAGCGCCGCATTAACAACTGAAGTTGGCCCGCAAGCAGCTGGCTTAGAAAGGCGGCCAGGCCATAAACTAAACGTTTGCCCCAATGCATTTATAATGCAAATCTACATCTATCTATCCACAACAATGTCCATAGTATAATAGATCTGTTTTGACTGCGACTCTACCGCATTTCACGCATCTCCATTCCATATTCAAATTGACACCAATCCAAGGTTGACGCTCGCCGATATCGACCAAAAACAATCGCAAGCAACGCTTGCGACATACCTAGGTGATGTTTAGAAATATATTGATATATATATATATATATGCACATTTTTATATCTGGGTTCATCTAAATATGCATTGTGTTTTATATTTCCGGATTCTTAGTGAATTCTCAACTGAGAATTAGTTCATTAATTTTTTATTATTATTATATGTTTTTTTTTTTTTTTATTTTGCAGCGAATTTGAATGAGGGCACTCAATATAGATATAAATTAGCAAGCTCTCCAACCGACTTGAATACGTTCATATAAATTATACATTTATATACATTTATATATATCATCCATTGAGTATTATAACGACCCTGTCCGAGTGGCCCGATGCTGTCTATAGCAATACATACCTATGTCCCTCTCTCGCTCTCACGCTCTGTCTGTCTCTCTCTCTCTCTCTCTCTCTCTCTCTCTGTATCTCTCACTCTTTCTCTCTCTATCTCTCTCACTTACATGCGGTGAGAATTTGCGAATACAAGTCAAATGAAACGAGAAGCATAATAAAACCACTCGATTACCATTTTTACAACAGCTCTGTACAAGCTACAGCAAGAGGCAATCGTGACGAAATTGAATAGAATTAGGAAAGTTAGAAAACAAACTTTCCCATTCATTACACATTATCACGTCATAATATCATAATATTATATTGGAGTTCGTCTACCATGATATATGTATATAATAATACATATGTATATGTATATTGCTGCCTTGTGTTTTCTTATCTTTTAATTACCTATAATACATATTTACATATTTTATATTTATCAAATTACATAAATTTAAGAAAATCGAATTTATTAGTATTTTTGTTGCTGTTTTTGCTGCTATATATATTTACTTCTATACTTCTTATTTAATAATTCATATGTATATATTTTCAAAATACCGCAAAAAAAAATATAATCTTAGTTTCTCTTAATTTTATTTATTATTTATTATTTTTTAGAAATATTTTTTAACAACTTTCGTTAATATTATAGAACTTCTATGCAAGAAAAAAAACTTCGATAGTTAGTTTATTTTTTTTTAAATTTAATTTTCTAGTCTAATGAAATATGAGTTAATTTTAGCCTGATGGGAGCTAAGCTCCATAGACTTTGTGTCTGTCTATAAAGCCTTCATTATTCCACATTATTGGATGATGATGAGCATGTCAATGAGCTGCGGCTGTCAATTAGCTGAGAATAGAACTGTGAACTCGCAATTTTTGAATGGGGCATGCAACAACAACAACAACAACAACAACAACAACAACAACAACAACAACAACAACAACAACAACAACAACAACGACAACAACTATTTTAATCGGCCCCGGCGGCGGCCCCCAATGATGGCTGTTGTTGTTGCTGTTGTTGTTGACGCGTGCGCAGCGAAGTGAAACATTTGAAATGAGCGCCGCGAGGGCTGCGCAGTCAGTTGGCTGCTGGCAGCGCAGTCGCCGCGACCTGGTGACACGGCAGCAAGCGTGAAAAATAAATAAATAACAATAAAAGCAGAGGGGGGTATTAGGTGGGGATTCGTTGATGTTGCTGCTGCTGCGTCTACCAATGTTGAGCAAACAAAAACAAAAAAAAAAAAAAAAAAAAAAACACACACACACACACAAAATAAAAATAAAAAGAAAAACAAAAACTAACAGCAACATAATGTTGTATAAACTCAAAGCGCGCTTGCATACAATTAATCATCGCAATAGCGTCGACAGCGACGCCGACTGCGGCGCTGGCATCGCAGGTTTGCATAGGGCGCGCTCAACCCTCGCTCGACCAGCACTCAGTCGTTGTTAGAGTCGCAGTCGGAGCCGCAGTTGGAGTTAGTTTCGGATTTTGACCAGCAGCATTTGCGGCGACGGCGTCAGGGCGCGCAGACGTCGGACGGTAGAAAAAAAAAAAAAACACACACACAGAAAACGGAAACCGGAAAGCAGCGACAACGGCGAATATTAAAAAGCAATCAGCAAATTGCGACAGAACAAAACGTAAAACGCGCTCACGAAACGAACGTGAACCTGAACCCGAGCCCCGTTTCCCGAAAACCGGGCGAAAATTCTCGCTAACGCGCAGAGAACAAGAACACGAGCTCAGCCGCAGCAACAGCAACAGCAACAACAACAGCAACAGCAACAGCAACAGCAACAACAACAGCAACAACAACAGCAACAGCAAGAGCAAAATCAGCTCGAACGGACAGCTCCATGCGAGCTGGTGTCCGAGTCGAGCTCGAGCACGAACATGCCCAGCGGCGGGCCACTGTCCGCGGGTCTCTCGGCGCGACCGGTCATCGTTTGGAACGGCGCTCAGTATACGGCGAGCAGCAGGGAATTGGAGCTGGAGCTGCTGCGACGTGATTACGGCTTGGATGAGCGCATGCTGGAGGCGACGCTGGTGCCGCGCTACAAACGCCACAAGCCGCAGGCGAGCGCCAAAAACGCGCACGTGCGTCATACGCGTGCACCGTACAGCACGGCTGCAGCTGCCTCAGATTGGATACTGCGGCAGGGCCATAGCAGCGTCTCCCAAATTAACTTTCATCCCTGGACGGAGCTGGGCGAACGCAAATTCTCGCACTTCGATTTGGTGCCGTGGCGGCGCACGCGCAGCGCCTTGGACTTGAGCTCGGTGGCGGATTACAGTGGGCGTGGCAGCGAGACGCTGCACGTGGCAGAGAAGACGCTGCGCGGCCTCGAGAAGCTCGAGCTGCGCCACAATCGCCGTCGCCTGCAGCGAGCCCGCTCCACGCAGCAGGGTCTGCGGCGCCAGGTGCGGGTGCGTCTCATATTCTCCATTGAGCTGCGTCACAAGCGCATGGAGCTGCTGCGGCAGACGGCGCTGCCGATGCGCGTCTTCGAGCAGCGGTTCGCGATCAGCGAGAACGAAAGCGCCGCCTACGAGCGCATCCTGCTGGACGCCAACGCGGGCGTCGAACAGCACGTCGGCTACTTCAGCAGGCGCTCGAACTCCCAGCCAGATGCTGTCCCGCAGGACGACGAGCAGCAGCAGCTGGTGGTTGACTTCGCCAGCGAAACTGAGGCCGAAGACCCAGAGGCTGAGACGCAATACGCAACCATAGCGAATGCACCGCAGGCCAAGCCACAGGAGCAGCCGCAGTCGAGCGAAAAGAAGCCAGCGGATCAGAGCAAAGTATCCTTCGTCACAGTCGAGGAAACAGCCAAAGCGCAGCCAGCTGCAAAAGTGCCATGTGTCAAGTGTCGCGATATTGCCATCAAATTGAGGTAAAATGTCAAGGGTCGATGTTCCTTTTTTTTTGTTGTTGTTTTTTGTGAGTGTGAACTGCCAGTGAGAGCAAAAGTGAGTGACAATGCACTCAGAGATACCCTGTAACAAGTGTGAAGTGCGCGCGTGTGTTGCTATGGCTATAGCTGTAGCTGTAGCTGTTAAGATAAGTCTCCTATCCATATTCGATTTACTATAAGCTATGCAAGCTGTGATCCCTGATTCTGGCAGCCTGATTTTATGGACTCTTATAACTCGTATAAAGATCAGCTAGCTTGAAGCTGTTTCTATTTATTTTATTTAGTTTCTCTTCAGTTAATTTTTTGCTGCATATCGTGGTAGAGCAGATCATATAGATCAGATAATGGCAGAACAGATCATGATAGATCCAAGCATAGTAGAGTAGATCATTATGGCTTAGATTATGATAGCGCAGATCGTGGTAGAGTAGATCATAGTAGAGTAGCTCATAGTATAGTAGATAATAGTAGAGCAGATCATAGTGGAGCAGTTTATGATAGTTAAGATCATGGTAGAGCAGTTCGTGATAGATCCGATCATGGTAGTGCAGATCATGCTCGAGTAGATCATGGTAGTGTGGCGCAGAGTAGAGCAGATTATGGTAGATCATAGTAGACCAGAGCATGATAGATCTGATCATAGTAGAGTAGTTAATGATAGATTAGATTATGGTATATTAGATCATGGTAGAGCAGATCATAGTAGAGTAGATCATTGTAGAGCAAATCATAGTAGAGTAGATATTGGTAGAGCAGATCATAGTGATATGATAGATAAAATCATGGTAGAGCAGCTCGTGATAGATCCGATCATGGTAATGCAGATCATGCTAGAGTAGATCATGGTAGAGCAGCTCAGCTCAGATGAGCTTGAAGTTGTTTCGAGTGATTAATTTATTTTTAGTTTTATTTAGTTCATTTATTGCAGCTGAGTCAGTAGATCAGATTTTATTCAGTTCTGCTGTATTATATTTTATACCGCATTTAGCTATAGATCTTAACTAGATATAAAATATAGATTTGTTTTTCACTATTTTCTCTATTTAATATTTGAAAAAAAATAATTGCTAGATCTCTTGCAGCTAGATCTCCTTGCTTCGATCAGCAATCACACTGTCAATCAGTTGCTTAATCTATGTTTAGTCTAGGGTATACAAAGTGCTTTGCTCTTTTGCCGGTTTTCATTTAGCACAATAATCATTTGTAATGTTTTTCTTTTTGGGGTTTTGGGGATTTTCATTTGTTTTTCACATTTTCGTACATTTGGCTGACCAAGTGGCCCGCATTCTGTGTGACCGAATTGTGTTCTCAGCTGTTCACCTGCCGCTCAGGGGCCCCTGGTGGCACCTGCTACAAGCAATCGTCTCGTTTTGACAAACTAATCCAAATGTGTTGACGCAATAAAGTGAAAGAAAGTGGCTGGCTTGTGGCGTTCGTTTATTTAGTTTCTTTCTGCGCTTAACTGAAATACAACAACAGCAACGACAACAACATCACTCCATTTGTTGTTGTTGTTGTTGTTGTTTTGCTGCTTCTCTCGTCGCTGCGCCCGCTCTCAATTAATTTGCTGCTTATGTGCGGAGTCAAGTTTACGACTTTTGCCCGAGTTTTGCTGCTGCCTGAGCTAGCGGAAGTGGCGCCCAATCCAAAGTGGGCTTGCCCATGGGGCAAGTGCTGTTGCAATGACTCAGCGGTTGCCCACCGGCTCGACTCAACTCGACCCCGTTAGCTTCCAGCAAATTGGCAAATTCATTTTGGATGTTTTCACAACTTTTGGCACATTTTCCGCAACTCTCGGCAAAAGTGGCCTAAACTGTTGCGTGTTTACTGGCATCAAGTTTGTGTCTTAAGTCTTTCGTTTGCAGCTGCAAAGGCTGCAACAGAAAAATGCAGCAAAAGCGCGCCAAGCGCACCTTAAAAGTATGCAAAGTTTTTTCGTCTTTCACAAAGACAAAGGCCTTGAGATGTTTCAGCTTAGATCGAGTAGCTGTATATGTAGTTGTTGGTGATATTTATAGGGTTTATCAGAAGGTTAGGCTCTATATAATATAATCTAACTGTGTTGTTAAGGTACTATACTTGTATTGTACAGATTCAACGATTAAAATAAACAAAAAAAAAAAAATAATAATAATAAATGTATAGGGTATGAATATACTTATGTAAAGCGCTGTAATTGCATTTACTAATTTACAATTTTAAATTTTTTATATTGATAAGTTATTATCGAACACGTCAAATGCATATGCTCTTAAGCATATGTATAGTTTTTTTTTCGTATATTATAAAAGCTCAACTTAATTATTAATGAATTAAGACTGAAACGAATTTAAGTTTCGATACGAGCTAATCTTTGTTTTCATTTCATTTTGGTTTTATTTTATAAGGAAATATTAAAGGCTACAACTAAAAAAAAAAAAAAAAAAAACAAATAAATAAATAAATAAATATTCGTCAGCCTCAGTAAGTTCCTAGATATCCCATGTGACCTAAAGTAGCTTGTGCGAAAATTCGACCTTAGACACATTTTTCGGATCTAGGATGTACAAAATAGGAGGGTCCAGTCCTGTACTGAACTAATCTGCTTGACTTGGATGTACAGCTTCTTTCATTAAAATAGTAGTCCAAAATGCTGTGATAACACAATACAATTTAAACAATTTATAACAAATATTAAAATATTATTTATATGCAATATTCAAATCATTTTTAATTACTCCATAAATATATATAGTAAATTTTTACTTTAGCAACTTTAGTGCCTGAGATATGAAATTAACTAACTTTATTTGCTCATAAAAATAGTAGTGCAAAATGTTGCATAACAAAATTATATAAAAACACAATATTAAAAAAAAAAAAAAAAAAAAAAAAAAAAAACAGCAACATAAAACAGGAATACTAACGTATTATTTATTAGCTTTTAATTTTTTTCCAAACTAGAGTTTGTGAAAGAAAATTAACTATATCAAGTAAGCCCGTGACAATAGCAACAGTGCGAATGAGTTAATATTTAGTGCTCAAGAGACAACAATAATTTGGAAATACTTTGACCTAGCAAAAAAAATATTAATTAATTTAAATGTTTCTTATTATTACAAATTTACGAATATGAGAAAATTGAAATAAATTTAGTATGTATTTTAATCAGTAATATTTTGATCTACTCCCTTGCAGAACTATCAATGACTATGCGCTCAACCCGAATCAGCACTTGAAGCACACGAACAACGGCCACAACTACAACGTTAAGCTAAATAAGCTGCACAGCAGCAGCAGCAATATTAGTCACAGCACCAACAACAGCAACAACATCAACAACAACAATATTAAGAGCAAAAGCAATCACAATCTGAGCAGAATGCATGCCCATCAGCTGGACTCGTACTTGGCGGGCATGCCCATCGGCCTGAACATGTCCGGGCCAATGCATCCGGGTTCGATTTCTGGCAACGAAAGACCCAACGGAGGCGCACTGGCACTGCATTATGCGGCGGCAAGGGGCTGCCTGGACTGCGTCCAGCTGCTGGTAGCCGCATCTGTAGACATTTGGTAAGTGAATCGCACGCAAATGCAGTTGGCCAATTTCAGTTAACTGGGTGAAGTATGAAAAGCAAAAGTCGCACACAAGCCGGGTCCGACTCCGCTCTAGCTGTTGATGGGGTGAAAGCTTTGTTCTTTATCGCGCTAAGCAGCAATTGGGATTGAGTTTGGCCGGGGCGTCGGGTAAAAGTCGGCCACACTGTGGAGCTGTGCTTATTTAAATGATTGCGACAAACATAGACGCCAAAACGGAATCAGAGCTATTGCAATGCACAGCTTCTCCCCACTTAAGTGGCTGCCGGTGGTGCTAGTGGTGCCGGTGGCGCTGTTGCTAATGCTGCTGTCGGCTTTGCCGTGATTTGCGGCTAATGCAATTTTATGGCATTCACTTGCCCCATTTCATTAGCGTATTTGCCAACTGTTGACATTTCCCCCCCTCGCTCTCACTCACTCGCTCTCTGTGTTTTTCTACCCCTCTCACTCTATATCTGTTGGCCATAAACATGAAATTTTATACGCAAGCCTAGACAGATTTATGCGTTCAACTAGATCTTCAAATTTTAACGTGAAAAGCAGTTGCATTAGCAGCTAATTAGACGGTGCTTTCTTATTGGAAAATATATTAATATGGCTAGACCCTAACTATGGCATCCTTTTATATAAATATTATACTAAATAATAAAGATCAATCAATTTTAAGTTGGGATCAGAAACAGCTTAGCTTAGCCGTCGCAAGTGTCCAAGGCGTTGACTAATGAATAAAGCTAGATTACATCAGGATCATCGGGGATCGGTGATCGGTGATCGGTGATCGGCGATCGGTGCTCGATTGACTGACTGAAATTGTGATTGTCATCGATACGCCACAAATTCTTTATTAGCCAGCTGAATCGCTCCTCATCTTTGAGCTGGCCGACAGCTGCTTGAGTGGCCTGATCGACTGACTGATCGATTGTGGGATTGGCACACACTCAAGTCAGCGGCCAGGGCAATTAAATGTGTGGTGATTAGAGCTGAAGATCGTTGGTAATTAGAGCTGCAAACAATGGGGAGAACAAGACGCCATTGGAGGCAAGTGGAGCACATGCAATCGCTGTTGTATTGAATGCATGACCGATCAAGATCGCTTTCCAGCTCTTGGTGCCCACCTGCTGCTACTGCTGGTGCTCAACTTTGGTCAGCGATCACCCAAATACCGCCATGAAGCACGCGTTCTTAGCGTTGATTCATTAAAACCCGCCAAGGCTAGCTAGCCGGCTAGCTAGTCAGCCAGTCAGCCAGTCAGCCAGACCGCTTAGCTAGTTTTTCAGGTAAGCAGCTATTCCAGCAGGCATCCAGGCGTGCTATTTATTTCGCTGCCATCGAACTGGATGCCAGCAGGAGAACCAGAGTGAGAGAGAGAGATTATTAAGTAGAGAAAGAGATAATGAGAGGGAGACAAGCACAAAGAACCGTTGCAACTAGTTGCCCATTGCAAGTGGAGCAGCTACACCAGGAGTCCAACTTGGCTTGGCCTCGTCTTTGGTCTGGTTTGGCCAGCTCTGGCTCTCTGCTTGTAGCTCTGCTCTTGCAGATCTGCTGATCCAGCTGGTTTTGGGTCTTCTCTTTCAGAAGTCATATTTATTAAACACGCCAGTTCAATTGGCATGACAACTGACACAGCAGCACACATGATAGCAGGCGGCTTGGAGAACAGCAACAACAAGTGCTATAAATACCATTTCCACTGCGAGGTTTGCCCAACAAGTTGGTATAATGCAACAACATAACATTGAGTAGAGGAACTCCTTTAGAATTTATGATGTAAAATATTGAAATGGAAAAGGGAAGTGAGAGTATGTGACAGACGTGAGAGAGAGAGAGAGCGAGAGAAAGAGAGAGAGAGCGAGAGAAAGAGAGAGAGAGACTCTTTCAGAGAGAGTGATAAAATGTGAGGGTGGGAAAGAGAAAGATCGATGGAGACAGACAGAGGGACAGTTGGGGACAAAGAGACGAAGAGAGAGACAAAGTGAAAGATAGTTAAACTGAGAAAAGAGATATTAACAGACTGAGAGCAATTAAGAGAGAGAGAGAGACAGACAGTGAAAGACTAAGAAAGCTAGAGATAGGAAGTAAGCGCCTGAAAAGAGAGTGAGAGAGATACGGAGTGAGCGATAGTGTGGTATTAAACCTAATCGATAATTCTTCATCATTATTCAATATAGTATGATATATGGATATCATCTTCATCATTATCTAATCTAGTATTTGGATATAATCTAAAAATAAATCGTATAATAACTATAAGTTAGCTAATGCAAAGCCTAAGCTGTCGAATACACTCTTTATATATATTATATTAATATATTTACCAATATATTAATGCACCGTACTATATCTATTAAGTTACCTAAAACTGTAATTAGCTCTAAGTTCAGTTCACCTTGATTGCGCTTCGATCATGTGTGGCAACCCACGCTGGGGCCAATCGCATAAGAGACCATTGAATAATATCATATACTAAACATTTGATGATAGCTCTGGCTCTGGCTCTGGCTCTGTCTTGTGGCCAAGAAAACGCTTGTGGCAGAGCGGGTTTCTAAGCTTCTTGGCGGCCGTTGCCGTTGCCGTTGTGTGTTGCTGCTGCTGCTGCTTGTTGCTGTTGCTGTTGCTGTTGCTTTTGCTGCTGCTGTTGCCGCTGCTGTCGTCGCTAACTGCTGCTGGTCGCTGGCCGCTGGCCGCGGTGTCTTCTATTCGCGTTTGGTTACTCGAAGCGAACGGTGCTTTCGTCTGGCATCAGCTGCAACTGTTCGTGGTCTACCGTGGCCGTCTGTGCTTTCCACTAGCGACGCTGTTACCGTTTGCCAAGCGCTGACCGATCGCACAACCGTTAGCAGCAACATTAAACAACAACAACACCTAGAGCAACAGCAACAACATGCGACGCATAGACGAATTTGAATTTTGAGCAGTTTTTGTTTTTTGTTTTTTGTTTTTGTTTTTGTTTTGTTTGCTTGTTTTGCTGTTGATGTGTTGTGGCTTTGGTTAAGTGAAGTGTAGTTGCAGTTTAATGCTCAATGCAGTGTTTGTAGCGTTGCCGTGCGGCCACGCCCCTCATGCCACCCGCCCACTCGATGCCGTTGAAAGTACGCGCCGCGCCGCGTTGGTCAGCAAACAGCAACAACAACAACAACAACAACAACAGCAACAACAGAAGCAACAGCAACAAACAAAATTTCGCGCTTCAAAGTGCTTCGAATGCAGTTAACGAATCGGAACGCGAATTAATTAACAGTTTCAGTGTACCAAAGAACTGCAAGCCACAACAACAACTACATCATCATCGGCAACGTACAAGAAGGCACAGTAGCAACAACCTGTGTGCCACAAGCCGCAACCATGAAAAGGTAGCTCGAGCGTCAGTCACAATAATCAATTGGCCAAGCGCTGAGCAGCTGCCCCTCGAGTAGCCAAAAGCCGGAGCAACATACGGATCCGCATAGCAATTGTTGCTATTGTTTTCCCTTTACATTTAGCTCTACCCTTCTTCTATATATTCTTTTTTTTATGTGATTCAAAACAATGTGTGTGTGTGTGTGAGTGTGTGTGTGCGGCAATGGAGGCCAACACCCACAAAAATCAGCGACAATGAAAAATTCAATGTGCTCGAATTCCAGTGGCAAAAATTGTGCATGGATTAAATGAAACGAACGCGCGATAAATTGCGAATAATACAAAATGTGTGGAAATAATAATATATAAAAAATCTCGGACAGCAAAAGTCGTGATGAGCTGAACAAAACGGAATTATACCAATATATATTTCATAAATATACAAAACAAAAAAAGTTATAGTGCAGTTGGGCGTGTCTATATAGAAGACTTAATCATGTCAAAGGGTAATCAGAACCTAAAATATGTGATATGAATGCTGTTTTGTTTGGCTTCAGCCACTGTGGATAAACGTAAAATTAGCAAATTTCTTAACTCGAATTCTGTAATAATTTAATATGCAATTTTTGCAAGACGTAGTAGCAAATTCATTTGCATTCGATTTATATATTAGATAGAATAGGTAAGAATGAAAATAACCTGAGAGATTACAATATTTATGATTTCGGAAATTGCAATGAAATAACATGAAAAGCAAAGAAAGAAATAATAAAATAGTAGTTTTAAGAACGTTCAATAAAAGGCATTACCGATAGGTGGGCCAAAGGGAAATTATGAAAAGAAATATAAAATACATATATGATCAGATCAGATCTAGGAGAGAAAAGGAAGAGAAAAGTATAATTGGCATGAAAAGTAGTTAAAATATTTATGTATGTACATACATATATGGGTCAACTATATACTATGTTTGTAGTATATGAAAATAATTAAATAAATAATAAATTAAAATAAATAATATTTTAAAGGAATTCCGTATCTTTAAAGATGTATAGTATATGAAAATATATACAAAATATATGTACATACATATATACATATATATGGGAAAATCCATTCTAAAATACAATATATAGAGTATAGAAAATATATAGAAAAGATATTTATGTTTTTTGAAAGGTATCTTAAAGCACATAATAAGTAAATATATCAGACAAAAATATATCGCGAGATAAACAAACAACGTTTAGAGGCATATTGCTGACAGAAAAACTACCTACGAATTGAAGAGTCTGACTATATACGTAAAACTTAATTATTTCATATTGCCAAAGATGATGAAAGAATAGAAAGTTGGTCAAATTAAAAAATTCGCAGACAAACAAACCGAGAGGCAGTCAGTCAGCTGCGAGCTCGTCTATATATGTATACCTATGCATATATACATATATATATATTGAGAACCGACTAATCGATTTGAGAAATGTTTTCTTCTAACTACGCTCAGTTCTCTGAGCCAGCCGTTGGCGTATTTGTATTTGTGTCGAGAGTTGCTTTCGTTCGGCACGCAAATGTTCAATTAAATGCTAAATGCGCTCGAGATCTGTGGAGCTCTGTGGCATTCTCGGCTAACTGTCAACTGAGCTGGTAACGAGCCAGTCTCATCATAATTATCGGCCTTTCGAGACTTGCGTTTCAATTTATCTCCACTTGTGCGAGTTGCGATTAAAAATATTAAATACAAAAGAAATTACAAACAAATAATATATTTAAAAAGAAGTAGGAGAAGAAGTAGAAAAAAATGGTATAATTATTAAATTGCAATTACAAAATGAGCACAAGAAATTTGGATTACTTGAGATGTATGTACTCGTTGTTTACTGTATTTTCACCTACAAAGCCAGAAAGAAGCTGCCGAGGCGCAGAAGAAACACGCGACTGCGAAACGGACAGCCGAGGCGGGTGGGGAGGCTGGGCTGGCTAGGCGAGAGACGGGGGAAGGAGGAGGGGCCAGTTGAGCTGAATCTGATGTCTGCGACTATAAAATCTATATACATGTACATGAGAGCAGCAGCAGAGAAATAAGTGGAGAAAAAAGCACAACATGAAGATGAAAAATCAACTTTAATTGGTTTACAATTCATTTCTGTAGCGAAAAGCTGGAAAATGTAACAAGTCGCCAAGCCGCTCGAGAAGAAAGCAGCAGCCGGAGCAGCGCCTGCTCCACTCTCAGCACTCGAGCTGAAGTTGAAGTGTCTGCTGTGCAATATCCATGAAGCGGCGGCGGACGCCGCTGAGCCGAGCTGAACTCAGTCGATTGCCTAAGGCAGCGCCGCCAACGTGAATTAGGGAAAGCACAGTGGGCATAACTATGCCATTAAGTGTGCAGACTTTGCTTACTTAATGAAATATTTGCTGATTAGTGTGCTGCTAGTCTTTGGGTAACTTAGTCTAAACAGAAATTAATTAATTATATTTTTGTGGGCTATGAAAGACGTACCCATAATTGGGGATAGACTGGAGTATTGGGTATAAATATCACAATTTAAATATAAAGGATACACTTTGAGGAACTTAATGTCAAGACGCTGTTCAGTAAATCTTGGGGATAGTGCTATCTACTTCTTTCCCTAACTTTTGAAATTGAAATGAACAGACATTTAGTGAAAACTGCTAAATACTTAGTATATATTTTGTTCTGATATTTGATGTACCTAGATTTTGAAAACATTTATAAATTAGCCTGGTAAAACGAAAAAAAATAAAAATATATTGATATGTACTATCTATGCATATATTTATATTTATGCATATTGTGGACTGTTTCATTCGAGCTCATTATTTTATTGGAGCTTCCTTTCGACTTGATATAGATTATAAATACAGATTTTTTATTTGATTAACCTTTCATATTTATGGTATATGTATTTTGTTGGCATAATTTATACATTTGCTTTCAAGGTTTATTAAATTTTGCCAATATGTACAATTTTGCTTATGATGTATAGAAGACAAAGAATGTTTTATATACTGCAAGCTATAGTAAACTATATTGTTTATAGATTTTTCTGCATTTGAGATATTAGATATTTATAGATATTTAAAAATATATAATTAAACTTTAAATGAATTAAAGTAATTTTTTATAATTATAGTTAGCCATCATTAGTCAAAATGAGCAAGTTTATTTATCTAAATTGTAGTCTTTATTTCGCTACTCGACCCACTGTGCTGTGGCTAATATCGCAGACAAATGGTAGCAATTGCGCATCATAGCCAGTGGCTGCTGTAGCCGAGCAGAGAAGCGGCGCGGAGAGAGCTCCGCCGCTTCGCCCGGGCGTAACATGGAGAGAAAAGTCTTTGCGTCTTTGGCGTATGATCTGCTCTTCATTCCATTTTTTTTTTTTGTGTTTAAATGTTTTTACTTGTTTTTGTTGTGCATTTGGCGCATTTAAGCGTTAATTTCACACCGAAAAAAAAGAAGCTGAGCAGAAAGAAGCTGAGCAGCAGCAGCAGCAGCATCAGCAGGGGCAAAAGCGAAACAAAACGCGCTAGAAGTTTGCTGGGGCAGCCAGCCAGACGCTGGCTCAATCGCGTGGCGTACCCGCTGAGAGTCAGTTGCACCTGTAACATCCGTGGCAGTTGCAGTTGCAGTTGCAGTTGCAGTTGCAGATGCAGATTGATGCGCCCGGCAACAACTGGCAAGCCAGCGACAGACAGTTCGACTTTCGGTTTCGAGTGACGGCTGCTGCAGCCAGCTAACGAGATTGATATACGAAATATGCATGAGGCCCGGGCCCCAAACTCGAAATGCAAATTAACGGAAGCCGAAAACAGTTAAAAGTCCAAACTCGAAAAAACGCAATGAAAAACAATCGAAACGAATACGAATCAAAGTGATTTTTCATTTAACCGTTTCAGCATTTTATTTATCTATCTACTTATTCATTTTTTTTTTGGTCTGTGCATGTGCGCGCGTCTAACGGTAACGGTATTGGGGAAAACTCCAACGAAAACCAGTTGATTCTGTTGTGATATGAACTATATTATCGCATAGGCGACGTGAAAGCGAAAGTCGCATAGGTAACAATAGCTGTGCGTAGGTAAGCAAAAGGCATTCATCAGTATTCTCAATATAGCACAACAATTGCACCACAACCACGCCCACCCCCCACCGCCCCTTTGTAGTGCACTCGCAATGCAATTTTTCTCGCGTCGTGTCGTGACGTCTACTCCATGCACAATGAATACTTGAAACACGCTCGCGTCACACCTCCTTGAGCAAACGCCCACACCAAATGCCCTCTCACCCACACAGACACACACACACACACACACACACTTGGCACGTCCTGCTGCAATCCAACAAAAGACAAACAAAAAACTCCCCCACTCTGCAGCTACTTTTCGACCATCAACGTTAAGAAGGGCCTGCTGGGCCGTATGACCACAAGTCTGACCTCGTACCGCCGCAGCAAGCAGAAGAGCAAGTCCAACAATGACATACACACCATCATCTCCACGGAAGTGAACTGCGTCACGACTGCCATACTCAGTCACAGCAAGAGCAACAGCAGCAGCAGCAGTAGCAGCAGCAGCAGCGGCAGCGGCAGCGGCAGCCACCTCAACTGTCACGATCCTGATGCCGAGCCGGGGCCGGACACAGCGAACGCACACAGCTCCAACCAAAGTCCGGGCCAGAAGCACAGCGGCCATCCGGAGGACAGCAAACTCGTCGAGAATCTGAGCAGTCTCAGCGAGCGCATGATGGAGGCGCACCAGCGTAAGGTCTCCGGCAATGGCGACTCCAATGACGACGAGGCCACGGCCATGCTAGTGGCGGGCGCTGGCCAGGGTCGCAAGGAGCAGAACAATCGACGCAGCGTCGTAAGGTGAGACAGCAGCAGCAACAGAGATGGCGGCAATGGCTGCGGGAATGAATCCGGCTACTTTAGTTAACATTCGGTTAACATAATAGAAAAAGTAACAGAAATTGTCTACTTCTATAAATGAAATGTAATACATAGAAATTCCCTTACCTATTTGTGGGCCTCATCTTGGTAACTGACATATAAATATGTGGTTATCTGCTTAGATTAGCAAGTGTTATAAATAGATTCTATAAATCGATTATCTGCTGGATTTTATGCAAATTACTGAAAATTCTTTATATCTTTAACTTTTTCATGAATGAGCAAGTTCGAACAGTTGTAATTGATGTGGATCGAACTTGATATAGAATCATAATAAGATCATATTGTCTTGTCCTGCCTGAGCCGATGTTGATTAGCTGTGGCTCAGCCAAAGTTTATATTTCGATCTACGTAGCCCCATTCTTGATGATTATCTGCATTTGTGTCATCTTTGAAAGAATAGAATTAAAGTGCCTTAAAGCTAATAGCTTTATTTTGTTTGAGCCCAGATTAGGATAGTCTAGCAATAGAATAACAAGATGTCATTTTTATGCACTTTATATGATAGCTTAGCCTTTAGCAATAAGAAATTTGATCATGGTAGACTTATAGTAAGTGTCTACCGTTCACTTTCATACTTTCATGAACCAATATATGTGATATCTGTGATATTATGTATATGATTTATATGGTATATTACCAGGTTATATGGTATATATAGGAGATATATATATAGGAGATATGTATATCATATCATATTCAAGCAAATGTCTATCAATTACCTATACCTACCTAAACCTAAATCTTTATATATGATACATATATGGAAAATGATATATATTATATATACTATCATATGATATGATGTGCATATATAACTATATTGTATATTTACATATATATATAAATGACTTGTAGCTATAAATGTCTATCATATACTATCGTGCTTCTAGAAGAGTGAACGTGTACATATATATGATACATCTGTATATGTATGCTATATGATATATTATTATGTTATATGCATATCATACTAAGTGAGCCTTTACGTATGATGTCTTTTATATGATATAGTTAAGATATATATAAGATATATGATGCATATATTTGATCGCAATATATGTATAATCAGACTTATAGTAAGTGCCTATCATTCACTTTCGTGCATCTATCATCTAGCACAACAATGAAAAAGAGCTGTCAACTTGTTTGCTGTTTGCCGTTCGCAGTTTTCTTTTTCTTTTGTAGCTTTTTTGTCTTGTGTGTTGGCATTGATGATACTTTAATTTGTATCTACTACATCTATGTATAGCAGTCTCTCGATATGGCAGCCATTAGCCATTTTATATATGTATATGTATGTAGTTATTTCTTGCTGCTTGCGAAATCTTTGTCTGAAAGTGAATGCACCCAGGGGCAGGAGGCAGCAGGCGCGGGGGGTGCATGCCACATGGAACTGGCTGTGTTGACTTTTTGCTCATTAGACAACTGCAAACGAATTTGGCCTTAGCTAATTGAAACCAAACGCAGATAACATAGCTGCGATTCCTCTCATATTGATTTCAAGAGAGATACTGATCTAACTATATGCTGTCTATATATCTGTCTTGCCCTGCAGCGCCAATACGCAAATGGACAATGATGTCACGCCCGTTTATCTGGCCGCCCAGGAGGGGCATCTGGAGGTGCTCAAGTTTCTGGTGCTTGAAGCTGGCGGCTCGCTCTATGTGCGCGCACGCGACGGAATGGCACCGATCCATGCCGCTTCACAAATGGGCTGCTTGGATTGCCTCAAATGGATGGTGAGTATACCAAAGCACACACACACAAACACACACACATATACACACTTGCTGAACTGTAGCAAAAATTTGCAATTGCCAAATGTGCCAAAAATGGGGCCAACAACAACAGCAACAATAGCAACCAAATCTGAACTCGTTTGGTGTGCGCTAGGCGCATGGCCTTCAGCTGGTTAGCTGGTTCTTGTCCTGGTTTCGGTTTGCTCAACTAACGGTTCCCGGTTCTCCGACTCGTTTGTCGCCTGGCCTATGCAATTTATCAAACCGTTTAGCATTTGCCGCTAACCAGATTCCCACATCGGACCAGCAACAGTCAAACTCGAAGTCAAAGTCAAAGTCAAAGTCTTAAAACTCTGTTCTTTTATTCTTTATATCCGCTGAGAATGCGAATTTATCCGTTGCAGCTTCTTCACTCTTCTCTCTTCGCTCTTTGACTCTTCTCTCCCCCAAGCGTGGGCTGTCTCTTTCTGTATTTCTTATAGATCCAACGACATAAACTGGACATCTCGCCAGGCCGACTTTGGGTGCCAGTTGAAAATCACCTTTCTAAATTGAGCTAAATAGTTTTGCATTACACACACACACACACACAGACACACTCAAGTCGACCACTTTCCACATTCATGTGAGTTGAGTGGAGCTGAGCTTTGCTTGAGTTGTGTCCACAGAGCGAGTCAAGTCTAGTCGAGCCACACGACCACACGTCACAGCCACTGACAGTTCACAATGGATCCTTGTGGAGCAGTTGACAAACGCAGAGGAAAGGCAACTTGGACAGCCTTTATGCTGTCCTACGAGGTCTCGCTTCTTACATTACTTCTACGGCAATATTCTCTCTCTCTCTCTCTCGCTCACTCTGTTAGTTAACAGATGTTACCAAATGCCTGTTAAGAAGTTTCTCTTCGAGTCAGCGCCTCTCCATGCGATTTGTCTAAGCTCAATGAGCAGCAGCAGCAAACATCGATCTAAGTTAAATTATCTCTTGGAATTCAAACATTTCTTTGATTGCATCTACAGGTCCAGGATCAGGGCGTGGATCCGAATTTGCGCGATGGTGACGGTGCCACGCCACTGCATTTTGCCGCCTCGCGTGGCCATCTGTCGGTGGTGCGGTGGCTGCTCAACCACGGCGCCAAATTGTCACTGGACAAATATGGCAAATCGCCGATCAACGATGCGGCCGAGAATCAGCAGGTGGAGGTGAGTAGCGACGCTAGCTGCCAATGGGTAAAGGGACTCTCATTTAATCAACGTCCATTTCTTCGTTGCAGTGTCTCAACGTGCTCGTGCAGCACGGCACCACCGTCGACTACAACAACAAGAACAACACACAGCGCCACAAGTCGCAGCACCAACATCAGCATCAGCAACAGCAACAACAGCAGCAACAATTGCAGCACATGAGCAGCAGCTGCAACTCGAACACGAATTCGAGCAAGCAGACGAGCCGCAGCAACACAATCAAGTCAAAGTCCTCATCCACGCTCAGCTCCGATGTGGAGCCATTCTACTTGCATCCGCCAGCTGTGACGGCAGCAGCTGCCGCAGCGGGCGTCGGCCTGGGCGTCGGCATCACGCGCAAGAACAGCGACGCCCTGTACTCGCAGCAGTCGCGCAGCTCCTCGGAGAAGCTCTACGGCTGCAATGGGGCAGCGGGCGGGGCTGGTGGTGCTGGCGGCAGCTCGAGCGCCGGCGGCGCACTGCTGCCCAACGATGGGCTCTATGTGAACCCGATGCGCAATGGGGGCATGTATGCCACGCCCTCGCCGAACGGCAGCATCTCGGGCGAGTCGTTCTTCCTGCACGATCCGCAGGAGATCATCTACAATCGGGTGCGCGATCTGTTCGTCGACTCGGACTGCAGCAGCGTGAAGCAGCACCAGATGCCGCATCCATTGCACTCGCTGCAATCGAAGGCCGGCAATGCGATCATGACCATCCAGGCCGATGTCCACTCCAGTTCGAGTGGCGCCGGCAGCGGCTCCGACGAGTCCGTCTCCATCGCGTCCAGCTTCAACTCGCCAAAGAGCAGCAGTCATCATCACAGTCACAATCATCTCCAGCATCAGCAGCAGCAGCAGCAGCAGCATCAGTTGCGCAGCCAGAGCTTCAATAGGCATGGCAGCAGCGGCAACATCAGCACTAGCAGCAATCTAAAGAACAACAACAACAACAATAATAACAGCAGCAGCAACAGCGGCAATAACAACAGCAACTACAAGCAGCACAAGAGCAGCAGCAGCAACATCAGCACCAATGGCAATCAGAATGGCGATCACGACTACGAGGATATATATTTGGTGCGCGAGGAGTCACGCAAGCAACATCAGCACCAGCATCAGCTGCAGCAGCAGCAGCAACAGCAACAGCAGCAACAACAGCAGCAACAGCAGCAACAACAGCAGCAACAGCTGCAGCACAAATACAGCGTGGGCAGATCGCGTTCCCGTGACAGTGGCTCCCATTCGCGTTCGGCCAGCGCCAGCTCCACGCGCAGCACCGATGTTGTGCTGCAGTACAGCAATCATGTGAGTAGCGATTAAACAGGGTGACTCGTGCCAGTGGATTTCATCTATGTCTCTCTCTTATTCTCTGCTCCTCTTCCAGCACTTGAACAACAAGCGCAGCAATTACAACAACAGCAGCAACAACAATAATAATAACAGCAACAACAACAACACTAGCAACAGCAACAACAACAACGGCAACATGAGCGTATTGAATCGCAACAAGTCGCATTCGATGATTGGTCTGCACAGCAGTAAATACGATTCGAGCCTGAAGGATAGCTACAGCGCCAAGAACGTGAATCTGAATCTGAAGAATCAGCTGCTCAATGGCGGCATCAAGAGCGACACCTACGAGAGTGTCTGCCCGCCCGAGGATGTGGCCGAGCGCACCAAGCAGACGCACAAGAACTCCATGATACGCAACAATCTGGCGGACGCTGGCCTGCTCAGCAGCAATCCCAATATCTCAATGCACAGCAACAATCACAGTCACAACAACAACAACAACAATAACAGCAGCAGCAGCAATAGCAACATCAACATGATCAGCAACACCAACAGCGGCAGCACCAACAGCATCAATCAAAATGGCGCCAACAACGGCAACAGCAACATGAATAGAAACTTGAAACGTGTCTCCTCGGCGCCGCCCATGCAGAATCTGGCCGTGGGTAAGTCAAGTGAGATGAGAGAGAGATCGCTGAATATACATATATTGTAATTGCGATCAATTTATGAGCCATTATCTATAAATGCTAAAAACCAGATCAAATTGTTCAGGAGTATTACACTAACTGTTTATTGTTACTAGAAATCTCCTTGAGATTTACATAGAAATAGCTTTCTTTGAGTTGATTTACATTAAATTGGCTGCGGCTTCAAATTGTGACTATCTGGCAGCACTGCATCGCGTTAAGTTGGCTGCGCCTGCAGATGAAATAAGCTTTTGAATGCCAGTTTGAAACTGAATATGAATATCTAAATATTGTAAAGTTTCCAATGTGGATGTTAAGATAACCCTAAATATATCTTACACTTTCAATTAGAATGAACTTGTGATCAGATCAGGATGTCCATTGATATTATATTACTGATCATGAAGTTTTTCTTATTATTGTAAAGTTTGTCTAAAATTATAAAAAGCAATCTATCTGATTGAAAGTCAAACATGGTCAATAATATGATATTAATATTATTAAGCTGTCTGAATATTCTTATGAATAGTGTAAGCTCCACATGAATTAATGAATTGATTATTTGAAAATTGTACATAGCATAATAGAAACTTAATACTTGCTACAAGCTACTGTGCAGGAAAAGAGTGAGAGAGTGTAGTGAAATGTCGAAAAAATATTATTTAATGTTTGAATATTATTTTTCTATGCTGCAAGTGCTTGCTTGAGAGTCTATGGTTTTTTTAACCTTTAAAAAAAACAAAACCAATATACTCATTTCACTTTCGTGAATGAGTCTAAAAATTGTTTTTATATTTAATTTAATTTTAGTATACACAGAATTTCATTTTTCATTTCTCTTGCTATAACAAGAAGTTTGGTCTATTATACTTCAACAATTTTGATCTTAACACACCCAATTCGTTTGATATGGTTTGATATAATAGTTTACTAGAAAATATCATATAGTAACAGGACAAGTTTTTTAAGTCTTCTCTAGTACGACTGTCTCACAATTCTTTAATATAAAATAAGTTATAATATCAGTCTTATAACCATACTATTTCACTCTCTCACACGCACTCTCTTTCTCTCTCTCTCTCTGTCTTCTTAGTCAATGGACCACCGCCGCCGCCTTTGCCGCCTCCACTGCGTGCGCCTGTGCAACGGAACAACTTGAATGCGGAGCACTCTGGCAATAACCACAACAACAATTCGAACAACAATTCGAACAACAGCTCCAACAACAATTCAAACAACAACATCTATAAGAAGAATCACTTTGGCCTCGCATCGCCAGCGGCAAATGCTCAAACCACGCCCACAAATGCCGCCTCAAGTGGTGCACATGAAGCCGTCGACTCGGACTCGGGCCTGGAGGTTGTCGAGGAGCCCAGCCTGCGTCCCTCGGAGCTGGTGCGTGGCAATCACAATCGCACCATGTCCACCATATCCGGTAAGTAATTTCGTATGCTTGCGAGTAGTAGAGGTAGAATTTGTCATCTCGCCCAGCTGGCAGTGGGCTTAGTGTCAAATCAGATATTTTGGATCACTCAATTTCGGCCACACAACATAATTTTCGACAATCAATTTTTATAAATCACAAATTCAACACTAAACCCAAAAACAAAACCAAATAAAAAAGAAAAAATAGAAAATTACAAAAAAAAATATATATATATATATATATCATCCGAGTCCAAATCAAACTGCGGCGGGTGTTGTAAACCATGAGCACGGAGGGTTCGAGTATGGATTGGTCGGATCTGGTCGATATCCGGCCGCCGAGCAGCAGCTCGGAAGAAACGACGACCGGAAACTTGTCGCCGAGCGAGTCGGAGGTGATGACACAGCCCACCGAGCAGACGTCGGCGCCCAGCTTGGAGGATCTGTCCGACAAGCTGCCAGAGAATCTGAACCTGAAGGATACCTATGTCATTTACAGCGTGGGCAACACAACGCTCTGCCTGAGCTCACTGGACACCCAATATGCCACAGAGCCCCAGCTGCAGCTGCTCGATCGCCATCTGCTGGACGTCAAGATCGCCCATCCGGACGAGCCGCTCTGGCCAAATCCGGACATCTTGACCCTGGGCATGCGCAATGTGTTCGATGTGGAGGTGCCCTGTACCAGTTCAGCGGCCGCAGCCCCAACCGCAACCGTAGTCACATCGACCCCAAGTCGCAGATGCCACACCAAGATGAAGTGCGTCAAGAAGCTGGGCAAGAAGAGGCGCACCAAGCAGCATTATAAATTCTGAGCCAAGCAACTTCCCCATACCAGTACAGCACAGTTGCATCTGTTCTCGAGCTTCCTTCTCGTTCAATCAGTAAAACCAATCATTGCCCTATAGCACCATTGCATTCGTTCATCATTAGCATCAGCTCATCCTGCCAGCCAGCCACTCACTGTCGACTGCCGAGGGGGGTCTTTGACATCTTAAACGAGCGGGCGAGGGGGCAAAGGGGCAAGGGGGCGGGGCGGCATTACGGCGCTAGATATTGATTGATCAATTAGCGACATAAACATGCCTCAAACTGGTATTGCCCAACAACCAGACTTGGCAAACTGTGCAGCTGTTGGTTAGCTTTTTGTTTGCCATTTGGCAAAGTGGCAACATAACAACAACAACAACAACAACAACTAAACTAACATGCAATAGCCATATAGCCATACCAACTAAAATCGAACACAGATCAATATTTTGACTCGCAATTGGCTTGCCGCGGAAATCATTTAAAGATCTTGAGTAATGTTTGCAGTGGGCATACCAGGTTTATGCAGAGGTGCAAATCAAACTTGATACACACAGTAGAGCTCATTAAAATAGTGATACAAAAGCAGTAAATATTGTATAAACTAACTTAATGATAGACTCTATATTTTAAAAACAATTCGAAAAGTATATTGATAGCATTTATATTATTATTCATTTACGTGTTGATATAGCTAGTGTAGCTCAGGTTTTATTTCTCCAAAACATTTAGTGCTTAGTTATAATACTATTTATATAACCGCAGCTATATATAGACATATACTATAGATAGCATATACTATAGATAGGTAGTTTGTGAAATCAACCAACTATTGATCTTTGTTATTTAGGAACATTTTTAAATAGACGTGATCTTGGTTGATTATGGAAGCGTGGAAGTTGTTGAATATTCTGCTCTACGAAATCTCTATCTTAGGTGAGCTGTTAGGTCGGACGGATAAATATTCGATAAATCTAGAACTTTCATTTAGTTTGGAACATTTTTGCTTTTTTCTATGGCAGATATTATTTCCTCAAATAAAAAAAAAAAAAAAAAAAAAACAAAAAAATACAATAAACGTTGCCCTTGGCTACGAACGTCATGATAAAAAAAAATCTCCAAAACTAAAAAAATAAAGTATAGACAAACTAATTAAATTCTAGGCAGTTGAAAGGTTTTAAAAATTCACTAAGTAACTACAAGACATTCTTATATCAAACCCACCGACTGTGGATAGCAGGAGTTAGGATCTGTTGATATAGCCCTTGTCTACGATGATGATGATTATGGCAGTAAGAGCTGCTGAGTTGCCCTCGAAGCCGTGAAAACTCTGGCTAAATAGTCGAAAAGCCGTTCGATATAGTATTTTGATTGGAGCTCTCAACAGCTCAATGGTATTTTTTTTTCGAGACTGACTAGCTACAAGAGTTTGAGTTTTCATTTAGACTGACTGCCGCATGCCAGGCAAACGTCGCATCGAGCAATTTAAACATCAGTTTACAGAGTTGCCGAGTTTGTTAACCTGGCCAAGACAATGAATGCCAGACATTTGACATGCATTGACTTGCAATATGCATTCGTAAATGGCTTATGCATTCGCATTATGTGTATGTGTGTGTGTGTCTGTTTGCCAAGAGAATAAGTTGGACAAATTAAATAGACAGGCGAACAAAACTCAGTGCAAAAAGTTCACACGTTGTGCAAAAAAAAAAAGTGCAGTAGCAGGAAAAACGGAAAATCGGCGTAACGGAAAAACATTTGAGATTGCAAAACAAAGAAGTGGAAGTTGTTAACAAGCGAAAAGCAGAAAAACTAAAACAAACATTGGGAAAATATTAGTACAAGGGACAGGGTGGGAGAGAGAGAGAGAGAGAGAGAGTGAGAGAGAGAGGGAGAGCAATAGAGCAAGTGCAACAAGCAGTAGCTGCTCCTGTTGCCACTTGACACTGCCAACCTGTGGCATGTCCGATCAGAAGCCGTTGCGGATCCTTTGGCGCTGTCAGCGGCCAAGGCGGAAGCACATCAGCTCGGCCATTTGACAGCGGCTGCTGCCCCGCCCCCTGCCACAGGGGACACAATGCCATGGCAATTACGGCCTCTGCTGGCTGCATGTGGGTTGTGCCAGTCAAGCCACCCGCGCTGCTCGCGCTGCACAACTTTTACCCAAGGAAAGTGAACGTGTTTTTTGTTTTTCATTTTTTTTTTTTTATTGGTTTTCGCACAGCCATTGACAAGTCTTCGCGCTGCGCCTGCCACAAGACTCGGAGTGCACACGAGTCGAGTGGCTGTTGCTGTTGTTGTTGTTGCTGTTGCTGCCGCCGCTGCTTGTGGCGCTTTGGGTGAATAACTTTGGCAATAGCTTGAACTCGCATCAGGCTGCCAGCAACGCTCGCCCGGGCAACATCGTCAACGTGCACAGCGCTCAGCTCAGCTCAGCTTCGCGACTCGAATATATATCGAATAAATCTCGGTGGATACATTTCCTTCATTCTTTTTTTTTTTTTTTTTTTTTTTTTGTGTGTGTGCTTCATTTGATCTCTTTTATGTGAATTTGTGCAATCGCTGATCATGTGATTTGTCATCGAACTGCTGTGTGTGTGCTAACAAAACGACGACAGTTCAAAGTTCAAGCTCAGACGCCATGAATATGGCGGGCTCGATGAAAATCCATAAGAACACGCGACGCAACTATTTTACGCTGAGCTTTCAGCGTTTCGATATATTTCGTTGTAAGTACGATCCAAAAAAGAAGAAGTACGATCCAACAGAAAATGTTTAAAGATATATTTTGGATAGCCCAATGAAATCTAGAATTGGAGAATATATGGTGAAAAGTGTTTAGTTGATAAATGTTTAGAATTCACATACTTACATCATTACATTATGAAATAGCTCTTGAATTTTTGATATCTATGACTAAATATTGGTACCCAGTCGATTGCACTTTTCCCTCATCTGTATGCATGCCTAGCCTCCCTTGCCCCTGGCCGTTGCTCCACATTGACAATTTCACGGTGAAATTGTAACCAGTTGCTGCTGCTCAGGCTCAAACTGGACCCAGCCAAATTATTCCATTTCCAAATGGGGACCGCGGCCAGCTTCCAGTTGGACTGCTCTCAAAAAGTGGCAAGCGTCGGCGATTGCTGCAATCGATGTCGTTTTTTATTTGGCCATCGAATTGGCTAGGCCAAACAGGCCAGACCCGATGCCGATGCCGATGCCGATGCCGATACCGATACCGATCTCGATCCCGAACACGAACCCGCTGCACTGCGTCATTAAGTGCTCCGGCCATATACGCTTTTTGCTTTTCATATACATATACATTTTATATTTATATATATGTATTTGTTTGCTCTGCCCCCAAGTGGATGAAACGGGTTGCTGAGCCGTGAAAGTTGCAATGCCGAGGACACACACACAGGCCGAGTGGTGCGCGGCGGCGGTGGTGGTGGCGGCCAATTAACTGACAAACATGTGCACCACTTCGCTTCGCTGACCACTAATCATGCGAGCTGTCATTTTAGTGGATTTTCCTTAGCTGTGCTTCGAAATTTACAGTTTGTACGCGATGTTCCTAATGCTTTCCACTCGCTGACCTTTTCGCATTGAGCCGCCGCTACATGAATTTGAATTTCCATTTTATTTATTTGTTGGTTGCCTGCTAAATGCTTTGACTTGACTTGGGCAATTGTCGTGCCAACAGATAATTGAATATTAATCCAGGCAAACATTTTGAATTTGAGTTGGGACCTCGCTGAGACTCGCTGTCGTCAGTGGGACTTGAAGCGCTGCTTAATTAGTCCTGATTGCATTTGTGCAAGCTGAATGGCTGCGGCTGTGCGAAATCCTTGATTAACCAACTGGCCCTGCCCCTGCCCCAGCCCCTGCCGCCACGCCTCCACGGCCGCTGCAGCTGCTGGTTTCTGTTTGTGCTTCAATTACTGCAATTGCATTTCGGAGCACTTCATTTGATTAGGATGCGGCCGAAATCCATTAGCGCCGTTCTGCTGTTTGGTGAAAGGCGTCGACACACGCTGCATACGCAATGAGTTGTATCTGCGAGTGTGTGATCTGTGTGCGTGTGTGTGTTGTTATTGTTGTTAATGCGGCTCAAGCTAGCGTGACCAAAGAGCTGGGATAACTGCTAACCCACAATAAGTAGTTAACGCAGACAAGACTTAAATCTCATAAATAAATTTGTTCAATTTCAGCGAACAAGAAAGCCAAGCTCCTCAATGGCAACGGCAACAGCAACGGCAGCAGCAACGGTACCATTGGCGCCTCTGCTGGCGCAACAACAGCAGCAGCTGTTGCCGCCGCCGCCGCCGCCGCTGCTGGCAATGGTGAGCCGCACTACCAGCAGGCCTCGAATGGCAGCATCTATGGCTACGCGGAGGGCCCTGGCGGCAAGCAGCGCAGCGGCGCCAGCAGCAGCAGCAGCTACCAGCCCTCGCACTATCACCAGCAGCAACACCAGCAGCAGCAACACCAGCAGCAGCAACAGCAGCAACAGCAGCAACAGCAGCAGCAATCCATTTATTCGCCCAGCATCTATGGCGTGGGTTCATCTGCAGAGGATCACTATGAGCTGCAGCAGTCGCAGTATGGCGGCAGCTACAATGGCGAGGGCGCTGCCGTGCGTTCAGGTGGCCCCAATTTGGTCAACAAGCAGCTGGTGCTGCCGTTTGTGCCGCCCAGTTTTCCCAACAAATCACAAGACGGCGTCACGCATCTCATCAAGCCGTCCGAGTATCTGAAGAGCATCAGCGATAAGCGTTCGTGTCCATCCTCGGCCCGGTAAGTTAAGAAAGCCATGCAAAGACAAGCAGTCAGCCGACAGTTGCTTCCATTTAGCTGCACATCTCGTGCGGCGGCAACATAAGTAATTACCACCAAAAGTGGCAGAAGTACAGTTGCCTTAATTAAGCAGCCAGCAGACAATGCAATGCAGCTCATGCTCACGCCGATCGCTGGCTGCAGCGCGGGGCAATTAACAGCACCACTCACAAGCCAGCCACTTCCTCAGCTCAGCTCGGCTCAGCTCTGCTTGGCTCCAGAGTGCATGAAATTTTATGCGTGCTGCATGCCAGGCCAACTTTTGCCAACTGCTGCGCCTGGCTAAAGTCAGTTGCAATCCGAAGATGATACTGCGCACACGACATGCTTGGCGCAGGTCTGGCTCACACTCACACACACACACACAGCAGACACACCCACTCGTACACACTCACACACACAGACACTCACAAATACTCATTCATTCATGGATCTGGTCTCCTTGCAGCTCCACGGATACGGAGGACTACATGCAAATCCAGATCGCCCAGCAGCAGCATCAGCAGCATCATCACCATCACCAGCATCCGCACCAGCACCAGCATCAGCATCATTCGCATGCCCTGGGCGTTGGTGAGCAGCCGCCGTTGCCACCGCCGCCGCCACCATTGCCGCACATGATGCCGCCGCCCATGCCGATGCTGCTCTCGCCGCTGGCTGGCGATGCCACCAGCAAGTCACAGAAGCCCAAGAAGCCGCACGGCTCGACGCCGCCCAGCAGCCAGGATACGGCCACGCGCAAGCAGCACCAGCCGCTGTCCGCCATTTCCATACAGGATCTGAACAGCGTACAGGTGAGTGCCAGAGAGGGCATCACAGAAAGGGAGGAATGGGCTGACTCAACCTTGTAGACACTTTAGGGTGTTTCGATCAGATCTAGTTAGCTGGGAGGGAGCAAGAGAGATTGTTCGATATGAAAAATCCTTAGTATTCCGATTTTCATTGAGTTCACTCGTTAGCTCTAATAATTTTTTATTTTTCTAAATTACAACACGAAAAATATTACACGAAAACACAAAACACGAAACACACACGCGAATAAACCATAGTCGAATATCGCAATATCGCAGTATCGCAATATCGAACAATCGCGGACAATCCATTGCATCGTCGAATTGCTGTAGGTTTGGTATGAACGGCAGGATCTTAGCTTAGACAAAGAGTAGAACGATGTCTACCTATTCTAGTTTAGATATGGCTGCAAATGCAGTTTGTGTTCAAATCCAATTGTGTGCTGATTCCGCTGCACTTTCCATACAGTTGCGCCGCACGGATACGCAGAAGGTGCCGAAACCGTATCAGATGCCCGCACGGAGTCTCAGTATGCAGTGCTTGACTACCAGTACGGATACATACTTGAAAACCGATCTGATCGCTGAGCTGAAGATCTCCAAAGATATACCCGGCATCAAGAAGATGAAGGTGGAGCAGCAGATGGCCAATCGCATCGACTCGGAGCATTATATGGAGATAACCAAGCAGTTCACTGCCAACAACTATGTGGACCAGGTGAGTCGCAGGTGTCGACTGGGTCGGCAGAGTGGGAAATGATGTGGGGGGGGGGTTGGGGACCTGGAGCTGGATTGTCATACGTATCAAAGATCTACTTGCAGATACCAGAAAAGGATCAGGCTGGCAACGTCATACCCGACTGGAAGCGCCAGATGATGGCCAAGAAGGCGGCCGAGCGCGCCAAGAAGGACTTCGAGGACCGCATGGCCCAGGAGGCCGAATCGCGCCGCCTCTCACAGATACCGCAATGGAAACGCGATCTGCTGGCGCGTCGTGAAGAAACTGAAAACAAATTGAAGTAAGTGGGCGGGCCATTCCATTCGTTTGTTTTAGGGGGCCTTGTGGCGCAGCTGCAGCGGACTCCACACATCACACACCACACACCACACCTCCACACCACTCTCACTCTCTGACCCGTCGCCATCTCGCCATCTGTGCCATTTTGCAGAGCGGCCATCTACACGCCCAAGGTGGAGGAGAATAACCGTGTCGCGGACACCTGGCGCCTCAAGAACCGCGCCATGTCCATCGACAACATCAATCTGGCCAGCTGCAATGTGGAGCACTACTACCAGCAGGTGCAGGTAATGCCGACGCCAGCTAGTGCCCAGTTCAACAAGGAGAATCATAGCGATGGCGCCACTGCAGGCAAAGCCAACGATTCTGAGCAACAGCAGCAACAACAGCAGCAACAACAACAACAGCAACAACAACAGCAACAACAGCAGATGAAGCAGGATGCACTTGATCAAAACGATGACGATCAGGACGACAGCGACAACATCATTCCATGGCGGGCACAGTTGCGCAAGACCAACAGTCGCCTGAGCTTGATCTAAGCTGCAGCCGAATACGCGTTTAAGTCTCTTGTAGTGCATTTTTTTTTTCAAATCATCCAATTTTTTTTTTTTTTTTTTTTACTCGAACATGAAAATACTTAACTTAACGAACGTGCAATCACACATGCTAAGGGATATATACATATTTAATGGATATATATATCATAATTATAAGAAATCTATATTTGTAATCTGGTGAAGAGATCGATGGGCTCGAGAGGAGTGCTGTGCGATTCTTTAAACCTGCTCCAAATCCAAGGCAAGCTTTAGATCAAAACAAAATTGAGAAAAATCATTAAAAAAAAAAAAAAAGAAGTGAAGAGAAGAAAAGAAACATATATACATGATTATGGCATTGTATATGTACTATATAGAAATGATTAATATACGTATACAACTTTTTTTTTATTGTTATTCCTATGTTAAAAAAAAAAGCGATAAACAATCGAGCGATCGGAATCGGTTTGCATGCATATTCATAATTATTTAAACTTTTGCAGTAAATTCCATTTGGGTGTTGTGCGAGTCTCGATTAACGATTATCGACTATCAATTAACGATTATCGATTATTATAATACATTAACGATTTTATCTTACTATCGAATTAATACATAATTACCTATTTTAAGCTTCCATTTTTTTTTATCATTGTTATTTGTTTTTATACTTGGCTCAATAATATGATTAAAATTTTACTATACATATTAGGCATAACGGAATTTCTTATTTAGTGGCGGTTAATAATTACCTAAAACAACTCGATAAATATGATTGATATGAGAGGTAAGACTGCTCGATTGGGAACGCCTAAAAAAATACAGACAAGCTATCGATTTTTATCGATAATAAGAAAGCGGGATAAGCTCATGCATATATATAATTTTGATGAACAGATCTCTTGATAAACAAAATATTGATTTTTTATGGGATCCGTCAAACTTCCATCTGCATGTTTCATACATTTTCACAAAGTCAATATGCCCCGAGCTTCTGTTTTAATAGGCTTACTGTCTTTTTCAATGTGAATGCTCATTTTCTTTGGTTTTTTTCTGAATATTATTTCCTCTATGTGATTTATGAGTGTGTTATATCTAGTCTATGAAAGATACTTTCGAATCTGATAATTTCATGAAATACTTAATTTATAAATATTCATATACTTTTTAACTGATCGTCGTATCTCAATGAATGAGTTAGGTAAGCAAATTATTTATATGCAAGTTAAATAGAATATTTTCTCTTACGGGTTTTACCACCTAGTGCTGCACAGTGGTGTAAATGCCTAAAATATTGACAGAAATTAGATAAATATGAAAATAGATATTCTGTCGAAGCCAAACTTTAGGTAGATCGAAAAACGTTTTTTTACTGTCTTATAGAAGTAAATTTATATCTATTTAAATTCTATAAAGGGAGAAAATTTATTAAATTCCCTGAAAAAATTTAAAGGGTTTCAAAATCAGCTGCAACATAAAAATATATTTCTTGAATGGAATTTTCGTCTTTGGCCCACTGTAGGCTGTCAGGAGATAATGTCAGTTGTCAATCTTTGATATCGAAGCGTATTCTTAATCAGGTTGAAATTAAATTTGTAGGCAGTCGAAATTGATTAATTGGGCAGACTTTGAGTGATAAATTATTGCGGTTGGCCCGATGCCTATGCCCATTGTGCTATTGATAAAGAGAGTGTGCGAAATGATGATATTGATAAAACTGGTCATAGTTAAATTGGGCCCGAGCATGATAGATCGGGCAAACAGGGCAATTTTTATAAAAGTGAAGAGTCTTCGGTATCATCGATCATAGAATAAACAACGTTTTGATTGTCGACCATGCGAGGCGTTACTATTTGTCTCTTGCTGCTCACCGCGGCCAGCTGCCTGATCGGCTCGAGTGTATGTTAACAACAGGCGATAAGAAGCACTTCGATTGGTAGTTGCCAATAATTAAATTGATCTGTATCCTCTTCTAGGGCAAGCAAGCAGCAACAGCAGGGGCCGAGCTGGTTAATTTCGAGGCTGTTGACTTGGCAAATTTGATCGATGAGCTGGATGACGATTATGTGGACGTTGAGGAGTCCAGCTTTATCAGCTCTGTCCACGACGCCCTCAAGGTGGTGCTGCAAACACTGCGCGGTGTCAACTGCACCATCAAGGAGGTTGCCGAGATACTGAACGCCACCGCCAAGTATGTGGAAACTATCGATGCTTGCGGGGTGACCCTGACCAAGGATGTGGCTGCCATTGTCAGGAACTGCAAGACCATCATCGCCATCTGCAATGACATCATCCATATGCAAAGCAAGCTATGTGCCATCCCGGATGAGCCCAAGTCGAATGCGTTGTCTCCCAAGAAGTGCTCCTGGCAGCTGCTCAAAGCAGTCGTGAGGCTGGCCAGGACAATCAGAGCCACCCGCAGACAGATCGCCAGGCTGCCCTCCGACACTAGCTCCTGCTTTGTCAATGCCACCAGCGAGGTGAAGGCCAGCTACGACAGCTTTGCGCCCAATATCCATGCCTGCTTTGATTAATTGTGGAAAATGTAATTTAAGTTTTGTGCAAGAAGAAAATAAAATTTCTATAGCTGCTGATTCATATAAATGAACTGCGTGTTATTCAGTCCAAGGTGCAGAGGAAGTCAACTGGGTCCACTTGGTTTATGTGTGAGCGTCAGGCACATTGAGCGTGAAATCAAGAGATAAAGCTCAAGAGCCGACAAAAAATATATCGAGAGACTAGATCAGCTAAACAATAGGGATGCAACAAGTATGCAGCTCAAAGGTCTGTTAGACCCACACACCTACTAGACCGAGTCTTAACTTGAGGTCTATCATATCCTGCCTTGAGCGTTACACCCAATAGCTCTATCTCTGCTACTGACTTAAGTGTTTTTTATTGATTATATTATCATATCTAGGTCTTAACCATATATGAGCTAAACCAATGAAGGTCAAGTAGGTCAATGGAATACTAGAAGTAAAAGATTTGGAGATTCAGCAGTGCATATTATTATACTATATTATCAATTTATATTATATATTATTATCAATTTAGAAAGTGAACTGAACTACTCGTGCGCTACTCAGCTCTTATCGAAAGAGATTACAACTCATTACTATTGCTTTATATATATTTTATTTGCTTGTCTTACATGTTAATGGAAAAAAAAGAAGAATTGGTAGACTGGGAGACAGCTGCTTACTTGCTGGTCAGCTTGGAGCAGGTCTTCAAGTTGGAGGGGAACTGGGTGTAGTAGCTTGTCAGGGTGTTGGTGGCATCGCTGATGCAGGAGACGGCATTGGGGCCGGTCTGCGGGATCTTCTTGGCCAGCTTAATGGCGGACTTCACCTGCTTGTACAGGCTGAAGACCTGGGCGAGGGTCTTGACGGCACAGCTGTTTGTGATCGACTGCTGCTCGGCGTCCTCGGTTCTGGCACAGATGGTGGACTTCAGATTGATGATGTTGCTGGCGGTGTTGATGACCTTCAGGTTGGCATTGATCAGATTGGTCACATCACTGGTGGCATCGACGCCGCATTGGACGATATTAGCATTGTACTGCAGAGCACTGTCCTGGATGCCCACGACCCACTTGATGATGCAGTTGAAGCCCTTAACGCTGCGCAGTGCCGCCTTGATGCTCCACCACACGGCCGAGAAGAAGCCAAAGAGCTCCGGATCGAATGCCACTTCACCATCCACAGCAGCAAAGTCGCTGGGCTGGAACTCCATGTCGATCTCGGGCACACCGCTCAGCGGTTGCCAGGTGCCGGCATTTACCTGCAAGCGCGCAATCTAGTTAATCCTCTATTCTACACTTGAGCACACGCTCTTTACTTACGCTGAGCACGCAGAAAGCTGCAAGTAGAGCAAACAGTGTGAACTTCATGTTGAGGCTATCAAAAGTCTTCTCTTTGGTCTGCGCCACCGAATGGGCCGCTTTTATAGCTCTGGCTACCGTTTGGGCCAATAGATAAGGCTAGAAGCGCAATATTGCTAAGACAACTCACCTGTTTATCGAGCTGCCTATCTAGCCACTTAAACCAATATCAATAGCAATGCCAATTCCAATACCAATACTAATACCACTGCCAATTGCTGTTGAGCTTAGCACAGGTAGCCGCAGGCATTTGCTCGGCTACAATTTTTTGGCCAGGCGACTTCATATCAGCTGATAAATTGATAAGCAATTTAAGCAATTTAAACTGAGTTTGCTCAGGCGTCGCAATAAAAATGCTTATCAATTAACTCTACCCAATTGTTTATTTACTCTTTCGCGTGATTTATGGTGCATATGCAAAACATTGACTGTTTCTAGGCAAGAGCGCTATTAGCCATCCATTCGCATATACTTTTAGGCTGGCCCATATCAAGAGTATTATGCATATGTATATGAGCTCACTTTTAGGCGCCTTCAAGCTAGTCCTGAATACATATTCTCGAGTATATATTCATATATATGTATATGTGCTTTGTACTATGCCGATTCGACAACCTTCAATGCGAATAAAACCAAACTAAATTTTTCAATATAAAAATAAAACAATTTCTTTTAAGTTTGAATTACCAAAAAAAATTTTATTTCTTTTATAATAGAGTATCCGAAAATGTATTGAATAGCAATTTGTATTTTATTTTATTTTATTATTTTTTTTTTAATGATGGAACTTATATATATATATATATATATATATATATATATATATATATATATATATATATATATATACATATATAAATATATATACGTGTATACATTTATTTATATATATATATATACATATTTATTAAAAATGTAGCTAGGTTTTGGGCATAAAATGGATTTTTTCTTCTTTTAATTAACATAGTTAAGCTTATTCATTTTCCATTGAGTTTAATTATTTTGTCTTTATTTTGCAGTTAATTTATTTTTGTATGCTTATTGTTGCTGTTGATGACATTTGTAATGTGCAAAAAGACAGAGATAGCTAGATAGATGGAGTGAGACGGAAGTGCCAGCTTATGGTCTGTGTGTGTGTGTGTGTATGTTTGTATTTGTATGTATTGGTACTGAGATGCTTAATGCAGAGTAAACTGTGTGTTCAGATGTCTCTCTCTCACTTTTTCTCTCTCTCTCTCTCTCTCTGTCTCTCTCTGTGTGTTTGTGTGTGTGAGTACGAGCTATTTGATATTTGACCGAAGCCACTTTCTGCTTAGCAAATCCATTCAAATACATAACATACATACATCGATACATCAGTATCTGTCTATCTGTGTGTATGTGTGTGTGTGTGTGTATGTATGTTGGCTCATTCATTGCTTGCCCATTGCCATTCTGATGTTATTGCTTGATCATTTTCATCTGTTACAATTTAGTTTTTGTTGTCGAAATTGTTAAAAAAAATTCCATTTTTTCTCCAAATATGATTTTCATATATTATGCCATAATTTAAATTTAAATTTTAATCTTTGCTTCTTTTTTTTTAATGCTACTTCAATTTCTCTTTTCGTTTAATCTTAAGTAAAATTGAATCAAATTCCTCAGTGCTTGCAGTGCATACCGTACTTAGTTTTTGTTTTTGTTTTTGCTTTTTGCTTTTTGTCTGTTTATGTTTCACTTAGGAGCTACCAAAAAATTTTAACTTTTTGTTGTATTATCTTTATATATGTACGTAATATAATGTGTATATATATAATTATTTGCTCAATAGTGTATATATATTTCTGTGTGTGTGTGTGTGTGTTTAGTATATTACATTGCGTAAAGCATTCACATATACATATGTATATATATATGTAGCTAATAGCGCTTAGTTGAAGAATTTTCTAGTTTCAGTTACTATTTACAATTTACAGTTTAAGCAGTTTAGAACTCTTCGATAGAAATACTTTCAGACTTGCGTAAGTTTTTATCTTGTATCAACGTTTAGTTTAGATATATATATATATAAAGTTGTATACTTAAAGGAAAAGTAGTTGTCTTTGGTTTCGATGCTTTCCAATTGTGTTTAGCTGCAAAATCAAAAACCGAAACAAAAGCTACGAAAAGAACTGAAAAGAAATTCTGTACACACATAAATTCATGCTCTAAGAATTGAATTGTTTTTGAAAATAAAATATATTTATTCTCTCAGTATACGTGTGTGTGTGTGTGTGTGTGTGTGAGTGAGTGTGTTTGTGTGAGTGTGTCTGGTATTTCTTAAAGCATAAATAAATAAATTACAATTAGAATTAGGTATTCACTAGAAGCATTAACTCGTTTATCTATAAAGATATATATATATATATATATATATTTGTATGTATGTAGGTTGCACACACATATAGTTCTTTACATACATATACATATATATTCTTTGATCTTTACAATCCAATAAATTGTGTAGTTCTTTTAGTTGTTGCTGTTACTTCCTTTACAATTTCTGTTGCCTTAGTTTCTAGGTTTTCATAAGACTTGCGTTTCATGTTGTTTTCCATTTTGTTCAACAATTCCCTTATATGCATAGAAAAAAATATATATTCTTGTAAATATGCTATGTGTTAATGTATGTATGTATGTGTGTTTGTATGGGTCTACCATCTATATGTATGTACGTCTGTACGTATGTATGTATATATATGTATATATGTGTGTGCATGTATATATACATATATGTATGTATGATCGTCTCTACACACACATATACATTCCTCGCAATTCTAGCTTATGTGTAGAACATTCATCAGGTTATATGCGTCTGTCTGTCAATGAGTGTATGTGTGTGTATGTGTGTGGGTGTGTCTGTCTCTGTATCTGTGTAGGTGTTGTCAAGGCATTGTTGTCATAATATAATACGGTATGGTGTCATATGTGTCTGACTTGTTTCGTTATTTATACAAAATACACGAAAATATATTCCTTAGTTTGTCTTGGACCCGGTTGTTCTCCGAACAGGTGTTTGTTAAACCCACTTACAGTGCGTTGCTCAACACTGTGTGCAACGCATGGCAACACTGTTTCTCATTGCACGTGTTCTTCTCATATATCCTCAAACTACAATTTCAATTTCAATTTCAATTTCGATTTCAATTCTTCTCATCAGAATGTGAAGCGATAGCGGAAAGAATTTCCAATTACAATTACAATTACGATTTCTGTTCGCAGGTGAAAGTGGAACAAAGAAAATAGAAAACTGATTGGAATTCTTATTTTATTTGAGTTTTTTTTTTTTTTTTTTAGTATTACCGTTAAGTGTAAGTTCTGTGTTCAATTAGCAAACGTATTGTGTTCTCTAATAAATTCACTAGATTGTCATTTGCTAAATATTATTCTGTTTTCTGCTCTCCCAGCTCCCTCCCCTAATCCGTTGCGCTGAGTGCGCTTCGATCGGCACAATTCGTGGCAGCCTCGGGGCACATGACAGCGGGGCATTTGCTGCACGATCCAAGGAGAGCTGCCACAAATCATCCTACATGGCGATGGCACCCAGCACAGCCTAGACAGATATATATCAGTATATATCCATACATGTTCATATGTCTACCTATATGCATGAAATCCAAAACATAATACCAAGCCGAAAGCTCTGAGTGCCGCCCGCTGCCTAAAAGCGAGCTCGAGCCAAGAGCTACATAGGACCGGGCGGCAGCCAAAGCTTTCGCATCAATCTTCATCTAAGTTATATATATATATAAGTGTATATATATTATTTTTTACGTGTGTGTGTGTGTGTACTTAAATTAGGCTTAAATCGAACTATGATTAGGGTTTACAGTAATTAAGGATTTAGTTGCTTAGTTAATTACCTTGCCTTATATTAAATATTGAGATTTGATTTTGTTCTTTTTGTTTTTGTTTTTGTTTTCAACAATATCTTAAATCAATTGGGTTGCAAATTTTCGAAACATAATTGACTTTAGCGCGTTTTACATTCAAAGCACTAGCAAAAGGTGATCTAATGAAAAAATCTCCAATAAATTAATATAATATATATAAATATATGTACATAGATACATATATATAGATATATTTAATATACAATCAGATAAGTTCATCTTGGATTTTGCTTTCCTATTTGCGATTCTATAAGTTTTTATCGGAATATTTCTTATGCAAATGTGTTTCATTATTTTTGCTTTCATAAAGTAATTATGTATACATATCTATATATAAGTTCATATATATATATATATGTATATATATACATATCTGTGTGTATAATCTTACAGTTCTAGAGCTGTGTATAACTATTTCGCTATTCCTGTTGTTCATTGTTCTTGTTGTTGTTGTTGTTGTTGTTGTTGCTGTAGTTTCTGTTGTGGTAGTTAGTCGTGTTATAAAGTCGCTTAGAGTTTCCAATAGTCTTTAAATATATATAGCTATATATGTATATATAGGTGTTTTTATATAGGTATTAGATTTTGTTGTTGTTTTGTTCGTAGGATAGTTGGGGCTTCTATACAGCCTGAGGGTCTGGGCGGGTGAGGACGGGCGCTTAAGTCTCTGTGAAAGTCTTTGATTGAATCTGAAACACATCGATATATGCATACATGTACATATATATCTACATATACACATACATATATTATGATTATTATATACACATGTATATATACATATGCACACAGCATATATGCATATACGTGTTTGTATGCGAAGAAGAATGTGAAGAAATATGCCGTTTAGCCAGAGAACGCGGAACTCTTTCTGGGTTGTGCATTGCTTAAATTGAGTGTGCGCATGGGACTCTATATACGTTTGTGTCTATGCATGTGTGAGTGTGAGTGTGAGTTATATATTGGATAAGACTATATGTGTAGTGTACAATAATGCATCCTGATTGCATCTATGTAACTGACAAAATAGCATCTGCTGCTGCTTCTCTGCTTTGGCTTGTATTGCAATTTACAACAGTTTACAAATAGTTTTTTTTTTTCGCATTTTTTGTTTTCTTCTTATATACTTTCTACTACACTTAACTAGAATTAAGTTTCAAAAAAAAAAATATATATATATATATATGTATATAGACAGTTATATATATACGGTTAGGTATGTGCTTCTATATAATTTATACGCGAATATCTGTATACTTTGCTGTTTTATTTCTGCTGGTTTTGTTGTATTGTTTCGTATTCGTATGTGAAACAAATGCTTTGGCTAATATCAATCATACGCCACTTGGGCCCGTCGCCTTTGCTCGATTCCCACAAATTTGCATTTGAATTGTTTGTTGTTTGTGTTTGGGTTTTCGTCGTCTTCTTTTTTTTTTTTTTTTGTTTTTTGTTTTTGTTTTTGCTTTTTGTGGGTATTAGTACAATTAAATTTAGATATCACAATATAATCATCTTTTAATTTTGTTTGCCAAAGAAGTGAAAACAATAATAAAAATATTATAAAAAAAAAGTTATGTGTGTGTGTGTGTGTGTTGGTGTGTATTGGTGTGCATGGGGAGAACAATTGCCCTTACTTATTATTGAGTTTCTTGCATAAAATAAATTGTCACTTAAGTGCTAAAGCAACGCCTTCTTGGGTTGAGAATTGTATTTTTTTTTCCTTTTCTTGATTTGCTTAAATTTAAAAATAATTTTATATTGAATTTTTTTAATTTTTTTGCTTTTGCTTAGAATGCAGCTATGCATTTTTCCCATTAGTTGAATATAGACACAAAAAGAAAAAAAAAAAAAAATATATATATATATATATATATATATATATATATATATATATATATATATATATATATCATGGTCAAACTAAAGCAAGAATTGAACAAACAAAACTTGTGAACTGAAAATTAAATTCGTGCGCCCGGAAGTAGGCAACACTTTCTTTATCTTTTTCATCATATTCTTCCTCTGGTTTCTTTTCGCATTTTAGCTGAATTTCCAATAGTTTTTGTTGTTAATTTTCTAATGAATTTTCTTAAGTCTAAATTCTGGTTTGCAGCTCCAAATGCATGAAACGCTCTTGACCTTCGGCCAGCAGCGAATTGTTTCAGTTTTGTCGCATTTGGAATTGAGTTGGAATGTTGATATTCGCATTGAGTGTTTGTTGTTGGTTGTTGGTTGTTGTTGTTGTTGTTGTTGTTGAGTTTTACATCAGTTGAACATTTTGCCAAGTTCGCAGACGCGTTTCCATTTGGTGGGCAGCAAAAGAGTAAAGTGTTTGCGCATTAGAAATATAAACGTGGACACGATTCGCAGCTGGGATTTCGAATGCTGGATGCACACACACAGACGAATGGTTATATGTTAGATGGATGTTCTATTCGAGCACTACATGGACTGCGCTGGATTGGATGGATGGTGAGTTATCGCTTATTGGGTATTGGCCCGGCCGCTGGCCAGCTCAGCTTGCAGCTTACTTTCCAAATAGGTGGCGATCTCGTTGGCGTTCTTGTTGAACGCCACCATCATGGCTGTGTTGCCCTCGGCGTCGAGCGCTTGCAAATTGGCGCCAGCTGCCACCAGCATGACGCAGATGTCGCGGCGATTCTGTTCGGCGGCAATGTGCAAAGCTGTCTGACCGCTAAGAGACAGAACGAGAGTTTAGTTTACTATTATTAGGAGACAAGAGACAGAGGCAGAGGCAGAGGGACGAAAGAGATAGAGAGCTGCAATTTACCGTTCCTTATCCGCCATGTTGATGACACGTCGTGTGGCCGATGAGATGATGTATTTGACAATGTCCTTATGATTGTATTTGCACGCAAAGTGCAGCGCCGTCTGTCCGTTCTTGTTCACTGATTGTAATGAGTATCCTTGTTCATGTAGTGCACGTAACTGCAAGAGACGCACATCGAAACGAGCACATTAGACCGTGAGACAGACTGAGCGCGAGTCAGTAAGAGAAAGAGAGACAGAGAGAACGAGCGACAATAACGGGGGAAATAACGAGGAATAGCCTCGGGCAGGAGCTACAAAGCGCGCGCGTCGCACACAGAACTAAAGCAGACGAAACAAAGAGACAAAAATCGGTACGAGAACAGAAAAATTGAAGCTACCATATTCAGATCGCCGCGCTGGGCCGCTAGTAGTACGGCATCGGAAGTTTGCTCCAGTATAGGGCTGTTATTTGTACGTTTGTTATATATATATATATATGTGTATGTGTACGTGTGTGTATGTGTGCGTGTAACGTCAAATGTGCACAAGTAGAGGTTGTGTGTGTGTGTGTGTGTGTGTGCATAGAAAGTAGAGAAATAAAAAAGAAAAATTCAAGCATCAGTTTTGATTCATTTGACATTAGATCAAGTCGAGGATGAGATCTCTGCAAGAAATGATCAGTGTATGAGCGAGATAGAGATAGAGCAGATAAATACATATATGCATATATTATATATAGATAGATAGAAAGAGAGAGCAAGAGTGCAACAGATAAAATACAGAGTACCTGAATCCACAACCAAAAACATCTTCGTTAAAACTGAATAAACGATCTTTGTTGCTGCATGCAGAAGCAAAAAGAAAAAGTTCATTTTAATGAGAAAAGTAAGCAGGAGTTGCAGATAGAATGAAACAGAGAATGACAGACAGAGAGAGAGAGAGAGAGAGAGAGAGAGATATAGTAGTGTGTTGAGTATGAGTGATGGAAGCGCCAATTGTTAGAGCAGCACAGCCAATTGTAGGTAAAGCTTACAGCTAGCTAGCTCATCGAGAGAGAATGAGAGAGAGAGAGAGAGGAATAGTGACTGCTTGGCTAGGCAGTGCCATAGCAAGCAGCTTTATGTCGCTGCAATTTTGTTGACAATTTTGTGGGGCGCATGAAGAATGAGATTTGAGATTGCGATTGCTGAGACTTAAATTCTCTATGGCCGTTTACCTCTTCCACTTCATCACTTTAATGGGCTTGGAACCGATTTGCAAGTCCTCATCTTTTTGTATGTGTGTGTGTGGGTGTACGTGTATATGTACACAGATATTTATTTATATACATGTGTGTGTGTGTGCGTTGATATATTAAATTCAAAAAGAAATTGATAAATTGTTAGTACACCATTTACCATCGATTATTTACATAAGGAATGCAGCAAGCAGAACACAAATATCTAAATTAAGTTTAATCGGTTAATCGGTTAATTGGTTAATTGCTTAATCGGTTAAACCATTGATAAATGCCGTGGCAAACCTACCCCATCGCTATTGAAAACAGTAGGTGGTCTGGTATTGTGTTTTTTGGTTGTTGTTGTTTTTTGATATTGGATTTTTGGAGTATTTTTTGGTGGTGAGGGTTTTTTTTTTTTTTTTTTTTTTTTTTTGTGGTGGACGAGAACGGAATACGGTTTAGCCCTTGTCGCTGTTACGTGTAACTGTTAACGTAAGCGGCGATTATATACCAAATATATTGAAAATACTCATATAGAAATGCTTTACTTACATGTGGGCGTGGCAAGGACTAAGCTGTATTCGCTCCCGCCTCGACGTGAGCACTGGGTGAGGGTCTTTTGGTATGTGTATATGTGTGTGGGTAGGTGTGAGTGTGTGTGTGTGTGTGTGTGTGTGTGTGTGTGTCTTAGTTAGTGTTAGTTACTTAGTTTAGATAGTAAGCATGCAAACATAAAAAGGCAAAACACAAAAATTCGAACCGAAAAGAACAAAAACAAACTTGAGAGAGAGAGATAGAGAGAGATGGATAGATAGAGAAGGGACTTGATTGGACTAGGGGCAGGGGGAGTTGCTGCTGTTGGCCACTTAAAGCTCGATGCGCTTCTTGCGATAATAGAGGTGACAAAACATGCGCCTATCTATATAGGGCAGCTGCTCAGCCGCCTGCTGCTGGTAGAGGTTCAGCCGCTGTTGCAGCGCCACCTCTGGGGGCGTCGGTGGCGGCGGCGTTTGGGCCGCCGCACGTTGCCAACAGCGTGATAACAGAAGCCTACCCGTGTTGCCGTTGTTGTGGCCCTGGGCCTGGTCCAGCTGCCGTCGCTCGTTCTGCGCCTGCCGCTGCGAGAAGGCCGCAAAGGAGCGCTCCTGGTCGGGCGTCTGTGGCATGGTGGCCGCCTCGTGATCCAGTATGTACAGCTCGTCGATGGCAATGTCGCAAATGTAGTGCAAGTGCTCCTGGGCGCGATCGATGCGAAAATAGTGCTCGGCGGTGCACGCTGCAAAGTGGAGCGAGCGAATGTTTCTTAGCAATGGAAGGCATGGCAAGGGAGGCATGCAGAGCTGCGGCCACTTACAGTCAATGAAGCACCAGTCCTGCGAGACCTTCGGATAGGATATGGACTCCTCGAACTTGGCGTTCAGCATGTTGCGCACATGCTCCAGATCGCACTGCGACTCGATCTCGATTTGGCCCAGCTTGTTGGCCAGCTTGCGCAGCATTTCCTTGTCGTAATGGTATTGCTCGTACTGCTGCATGGTTACCCTCAGTATGGCCAGTTGCATCTTCTCCAGCGGATTGACTCTGTGGGCGGGAGACACGGTTAGAGCAATTGAAAGCAAGGACAGGCAACTAAGAGAGAGCTCAAGGGACTAGACTGTGGACTATCATGGTGGAATGGGAGGTAAAAGGAGGGATCAATCTAATGGAAACTCGCTTCATATTCATATAGCGAAGATTGAGGCTCATTCAGGGCATCTCTCTCTCTCTCTCTACTTACTGGACATCTCCGCGTCCGTGCTTGCGCTTGGCTAGCATCAGCGCCTGGTTGAGCAGCTCGATCTCGATGATGGAGGGCTTGACGCGACAGGCCTCGCCGTCGACCTGCATGGGAATGGTGCGTTTGGTGATGATCTTGGCCTTGCGGCACTGGCAGATGCAGGTGCCGTGCATGCCCGCCTGCAGCATGGGCAGCTGGTAGGTGGTCAGGCCGACGACCTCCATGAGGCCGTCATCGATGGTGGGCTTCGTCTGGCCAAAGGAGTCGTTCCAGGGATGTGTGCCGCCGCCATAGCTGTGGATGGCAATCAGTCAGCAAATGATGGAGCTAGACAGACAGTGGCTCGCCCTACCTGGGTATGTTGAGAAAGAGGACGGCATGGCAGCCGGCATCGCGGAGCTTGCCAGTAAAGTCCTGGCCATCGCACTCCAGCGTCACCCACTGTGAGAGATTGCGGTATTGGCGCAAGATCAGATCCTTGCCGCCCATCTGGCCGTAGTACATCTTGTTGCGCAAGCGCGAATTGAACCGCTCCGGATGGGCCTCGCGCGCCTCATGGAACTCCAGCGCAATGTGCGCATCCACACCGAAGCTGAAGTAGTTGTTGATCACATTCAGCGGCACATTCGGCTTGCTGCGATCCACGTGATCGTCGGTGACGTCATCGTTGGGCGTCACCTTCACACGCCAGCGGTCCATTAGGACGCACTGCGACATGCCGATCTCTCGCAGTATCTTGCCAATGGGCTCATCCGTGTAGCCCTGCGGGAACAATTCACAGTCAGAGATCGAAAGGGATTCATCAGGATTTTCACTTACGCCACCCCAACCGAGAGATCGGGCGAGATCATTGCCGGTGCCCAAGGGCAGCACGCCCACCGCCGGCGCCGGCTGCAGCGGCGGATGGATTTGATCCAGCACGGATAGCACCCATCCAACAGTTCCATCGCCGCCGCAGGCCAATACCCGCAGATTCGGAGCCTTGCGGTACATGTCCAGACTGCAGAGAGATAACGATTATACATTAAGAATAAATAATGAACTAGTTCCACAATATGTGAACTATTGTGAGCTAGTTGCGAACTAGTTCTAAAATTTCGGCTTCTCAATTATTATTGAATAAATAATTTGAGTTTGAACTAGTTTCGTTTGATTTTTATGAACATAGTTCATGAACTAGTTCAAATTGTTAAAAGCCGAATCAGTTAATTTAAACTGTAAATAAGATATTGAGCTTATGAACTAGTTCATATAGCTAGTTTCGTTTCTGGCACGTGTGCGAACTAGCTCATTTATTATTTATGTATAAGATTTGGTAATTGGATTTGTATGTACATGTAGTTCTTTAGCGCAGTGCATGCGGTGCCATGCAGGATTTCCACTTACCCCATTTTGGGACCGCCTTGTGTCAGATCGAACACCTGGCGTGGATTGAGCAAATGCTGGAACTTGCCCAAGAGCTTGACGCCCTGATTGCCACCGGATTTGGGATTGATAAAGACAATGACCGGTATTACATCCGGCGATGGAATGGGCTTCACAATGAAGGCGCGCGGCTCCTTCTTCTCCTCCTTGCCCTTCTGCCGCTTCTGGGTCTGCTTCTTACCCTTACCGCCAGCACCGCCTCCGCCAGCACCGCCACCAGCGCCGGCCGCCGCGCTGCTCTTGTTGCTCACGCGTATCGAAGACTTGAAGTTGCCCTTGGTGGGCAGCTTCACAATCCACGATGGTGGCACAATGATGGGCGCGTAGTTGCCTGCAAGCATACAAAAAATTCGTTAGATTAAGGAGGTGGCTAGAGCACGAGAGAGAGAGAGAGAGAGAGAGAGAGAGAGATTGCGGGGACGAGATGGTTGTTAAGCTGATAAATGGTCGATTGCTTTAAGATGCGTGTCAACATTGGCAGCTGACCAACTCATTGCCCGTACGGCTAATTGAGAGCTCGTCTAGAATGAGTAAGGAATGACAAGGAGCAGCAAGTTCCATTTGCCACCTTCAAAGCAATCAACAACAACAGCAAGCCAAGGCAAGGCAAGGCAAGGCAAGTTAATAGCATAGAAAATATGCCAGAAGTCAGTCACGAGTCACTGGCAAACAATAGAAATTGAGATGAAGCCACATGCCACCACGAAGCAGGCAGAGGGACGACATACCAAGGCCCTTGCCCCAAGTCAAGGCGCAATTATGAATACCACAACAGCAAGCGGGCAGGTGCCGAGTGAGAGAGTGAGAGGGAGGAGGCGAGGCTAGCCGACTTGCAAGACAGGCCATGGCGGCAGCAAGACAAAGCCAGCCGCCGAGCTGATCAAGTTGAGATACGCAATGCAGGCAGCCTGGTGGCCAGGGTGTAGGGTGGAGGGGGGGGATATATATATGTATTTGTGGTGATGTTATTGCTTTAGGCTTTACGGATGCCCGCCTGTAATTGTATTTTGCGCTTTATTTCGTTGTCTTGTGGCAACGCCATTGTCTCATGGCTCGTGCGAGCCTGCGTGTGTGTGTGTATGTGTGTGTCGTCTGTGTATAATGCGATGCTGAAGAGAGTGTGTTAACAAGACGCTCATTGAGACACTTTATAAAAAGCATTCAGAGCCTCCGCTCCGCACGCATTTCCCATGCACACAGGCAGCACAATTGTGCGAGGGGTCATCATGGTAGCCACCCAGCTGGCCAGCCATCCAACCACCGCACCCTCTCATCATCATCAATTCAACCACAATCGAGTTTGCCGAGCTGTCCATGGTCAATTGTTTTGCCGCTCCGGGGTTTCCTTTTGTTGAAGCGCCAGCCACAGCCACAGCCAGAGCCACAGCCACAGCCAGAGCCAGAGCCAGAGCAGCCGGCAGAAGTATTTTCATCTGACAGTCACAAGTTTTGGCATCTCCAATATTAACTGCTCAAGAGCACCTCTTAGAGGCCGGCCAACACCAAGTGCAGCGCCCACTGTAAAACTTTCCTTGCCTGCTGAAGGCCCATTCGCATCTGGCCGAGACACACGCAGCTCGGCCTCAGCACTTGGGCCTGGATATTGCAATGGGCTTAAAGAGATGCAAGGCTGAGTCGAGTTCGAGCTCGACTCTCGAATCTCATCAGCAGCTGCTTTATGGCGTCATAAAATATATTTCAATTACAATTTCGGGTTATGAAATGTGAAAAGCCATTTAGTTGTAGCCCAAAGCGAAACAGTAAGCTTTTCAATTATATAGGTACAATTCTTGTGAAAAACTAAAAGCTAAACTTAATTTGATTGCAGAATGAATGAATCATAGATATAGTGCGGATTATACAAATCTATTCAGTTCTCAGTGGCGCATTCATAGGAATGTTATATGCTTTCAGTTAGAGGTGCTGTGACTCCATATCGAATCCATTGCGTACAGAGACAATGCAGAGGAACCGTTATGCAAATGGATTCCGAGCAACAAAGGAGAATCCCCATTCGAGTTGGCTTTGTTTCAGCTCTTTTTTGTGCAGCTTTCAGTGCGTTTTTTTTTTTTTTCAATTAAACAAATTGAAAATAGAAAAACAAAAGTCAAGCAAAACAATAAAAATCATCTATTTGTTTAGAATTATTTTACAGCGGGCAATCAATAGACGAGATGATTTAGACTGCTCAAAGGCCCAATCAGTTGTAGTGCAGTTAGGAAAACTTTCAATCAGTGTGAGTGTGTGTGTGCTTTGCATTTCAATTATAAAGGGACTGCCGATTCCCTAATTACTTTCTCCCGTCACCCGTGACGTCACCGAGGCACCGAGTCAAAAAGGTTTGTACGGCAAACGATTCATAGGACACGTATTGCGCTCATCTATTGACTTAGCCGGAGTCAAAGCTGAGAACTTGACAAATTGTCAATTCCGCGAAATAAATGCTAATGACCTAAGAACTTGACCCAAAAGCAAAAGCAAAATCAAAAACAACAAGAACAACAACAACAGACAAGCAGCTGTCAAAGAGGCCGAAGCGGAAACGAAATTAAGCAAAGCGGAAATACTCTTTAGATCCAAACAAACTGTCACGATGCATGAGATGCTGCGGAAGAAGCTGAGCGAAGAAAAACTTAGAGTTACTCGCTCTCTAAATGAACAAGTAAGAAAGCTCTAGTCGAGACTGCTCGACTACGAGATCCCCTGAACCCTTGGAGCAATAGATATTTCAATACTTTTTCGCGACTTTCAGCTTACACAAGAAACACGCACACACACACACGCACGCACGCACGCACGCACACACAGATAAACATACACACACACGCATATAGACACACATACACACACACACGCATACAGACACAAACGCATACACACACACACATACACACACACATACACATACAAGCAACCACGCATAAACACGCATGGGCTGCAGTGTGCGCTTACTATGAGAACTTAATTGTTTAATAACTTTTTTTATGGACGTACGATCTTCATGAAACTTTTAGATAATGATTATAACATGAATATGCATGTACTTGCCAAAGCACAAGTCTCTAGTATTTGAAATACGCTTTTTACAAAAGTGAGGGTGAGGGGGTGAATTTAGAGGTGGGGGGTAAATTTTAACAAAAACCGAAATTGTATAAATTGCATATAAGCATACATTAAAAATTTGGAGACTCTAGCAATAAAGGTGTAGAAGATATAATTTTATAACTGGGTTTCGATAAGGTTTTTTATCGATAAAAAAAGATCGGGATGAGTTATCGATTTTTAATGATAAACTTGATATGCGCGCTGTAATTACGGACATTTTAAAAAAATTTGAAGTCTCTAGCTCTTATATCTTCTGAAATCGACGCGTTCATACATACGGACAGACGGACAGACGGACAGACGGACAGACAGACGGACAGGGCCAAATCAACTCAGCTCGTCACCCTGATCAAGAATATATATACTTTGTGGGGTCTGCCACGCCTCCTTCTCCCTGTTACATACATTTCAACAAAACCATTATACCCTGATTTCCCATTGAAAATGGGTTCAGGGTATAAAAAGGTGAATTTCATTTGAAGCGATACAAATGGAAAATAATAGAAATGAAAGAGTTTAAAAATGAATTAATTAGCTTATTTAATTAAAGAGCTAATTGTATGATAATGTATGAATGGATGATAGAATGGACGATGGAGAAAGAGAATTTCGGAATTATTTAAATTTAGCTGAATGATATATAAGGATGACAGAAAAAGTAAATAATGGAGATTAATTAATTAATTAATTAATTTAAAAGTTGAACTAAGTATATGATAATTATATGATGTGGATAAAGATAAAAAAATTCAAGCAAATAATCAAAAAAGAAGGCGTTTAAATATCAATTCATGTTATACATAGATAAAAGATGTCACATAAGAAAAAGAAATGTGGGAGAATTATAGGATATAGTTAGATATGATAAAATATATATAGGAATGAAAATAAATGAAAATGATGGATTTGAAGATGATGGCTAGAATAAAAAAAAGTCAATTAATCAATTATTTAGTTGATTATTTGATAATTATTTGATATAGATAAATGCTATATGACGATGAAAATGGATGAGTAAAAATAAAATCAAAATTTGAAAATATATAATATAGATATAGATGAAGGGTATACATATATGTTATACATATTCTAGTTGATAGACCAAAAGGAGCCTTTTCATCAAAGAACATGGGGAGTTCGAGATTTTGCCTACTTTATAGCTGATATAAAGTTTTTCTTGAATATAATTTAAGCAGGTATTAATATACCATGCCCCATAGGTTAGTGTATAATGCATTAAAATAAAATACAAAATAAAACAGAACAAGAAAATAAAAATAAAAATGAAAATAAAAAACTACGCGTTGCTGTTGTTAATTAAGACAATGAGACACTGAGCGAGTGGACTGGCAATGGGAAATAAGCAATGGGCAATGGGCGATGGGCTAAAAGGGTCGAGAGGTGGATTCGCAATCTACCTTGTGGCTAAATGGACTTGGGTCGGCGAGTGGCGAATGGAGAAGGGCGAAGGGCGAAGGGCGACTGGCGGCACTGCGAGGTGCTATTTTAATGCACAAATTTTAATTAAGTTAACGGGCCGGAATTTATTTGCATTCACGTCACGTAATTAATCAGACAGGACAATGGAGAGTGGCGAACAATGGCGGCCGCAGCGGCTGCCTGGGCATCGATAAGGACAATGGGCAAAGCTAAACTTACCGAGGCGGCACTCCTCGCCAATCTTGGCCTGATTGAAGCACGACTCCTTGTTATGGTATATCTCGTGGCACCACGCACAGGACAAAGCCACAATCTCTTTCGATCCGAATAGCTTGCTCTGCACCGCCTGCAATAATGACAATAATAATAATGATGATGATGATGATGATGATGATGATGATGACACTGGTAATGCCAATGACTATTAGTTCGGCACTCATCGGCACTCACCTTGCCGCACTGCTTGCACTTGCCCTTCTCCAGCTTGCGGTGCACCCAGTGATGGTGGGTGGTCGTCTGCTCCCGGTACTGCCTGATTCCCACATCTCGGTATGTTGGCTTACACGCTAGTTGAGTCTTTTCATTCACCATTGGAATGCAGTTCTGATGGGCAATCAGCTGACAAGCCGAGCACTTCATGCGTTGTCCGCTCTTCTGCAAGTGCACGATTGGATTAGTTAGACAGGGAGAGGGAGATATATATATATAGAGAGAGAGAGAGAGAGAGAGATGGAGTCAGGTGTGTACATTAGCAACGCATAAACGCAGTTTGTCTTCAGTCAATTGGCCAATTGGTTAGCTAAGCTGACAGCCAGACAACTGGACGTCCATTGGCCCATTGAGCAGCGGCTCCGCCACTTGTCTCCAAATAAACTTGTGCAATTAATCTCAACTCAAATTGTACGTCAGTCAATCTGTCACACGCAGCACGCACACACAGCTCGCTCGCTGCTCTCGAGCGATGTGTGGGGCAAGTGCCGCGGCAAGTGAAAGGTGAGTTACTTTCCAGCGACAACAGAAAAAAAAGAAAAAATCAACTCACTTCGGGCTCTATTCCCAGAGAAGTTGAGCATATTTTAAGCGAAATATGTAGTTGACATTTCACGTGGTACTTGACCTGTTTGATATAGATTTAATGCTCTGTCTGTGTCGTTGAAAGCTCTAGAAGACTTTGACATATTGCCCGATTGAGTTGAGTGAGTTTGGCGTGCTTTAAAAGCGTCTGAAAGCTCAAATTAATATTCTATGTCAGCTAAAGCTCAAGTGATTATGTAGTAATTGATATTTCTCTCCACTTTTCGTATGTTTTGGATTAGCTATAAGAAGATTTCCTTTCAGTACTAGAGCTCACTTAAGCTGAAAGCTCAAATATCCATAATATTATATTAATCATTTTTCTTTCTTTTTCTCTCCCTCTTGCTCCTGTTCTTTAATTGATTCATGTTCTTGGCCAATGTGTATAGGTTTTCCCTTGCCCTAACCTTAATCACATGCATTTGCTTTCGAGATCTAATCAAATTTATTGAAACCATATTGTGAAGGTTCTTTCCACACATGCTGATAATTCAGTTTCTTGCCTTTATTTAATCAACTGCTGCTGAACTTTATCTTTATATTTACCTAATGACAAACTACTTGTAACTTTTGACAGCAGAAAAAAAAAAAAAAAAAAAAAAAAACAGAAAACAAAGGAAAAGAAAGAAAAACAAAGGGAAAACCTTTTATTCAGCCCCAATCGTGCGTGTTTGCAAACGCAACAACATCTAACAAAGTTATATATGTACTTTACAGATATATGTACATACACTATGTTATATGCGTCTGCATATGTATATGCTGCATATTTGTGTATGTGGAACAAGCACGCAAATAATAAATTACACGATTACATGAAGTTTCATTCTGCTTGTTGCTTTTCGCTTTTTGTGCTCCCCGCCGTAATTGAATTAGCTGTAAGCCCCGAAAAAACTCAGTCCAATATCGTCAGTACAAATCCCATATGACTAACTGTGCGTGTGTGTGTGTTGTGTGTTGTGTGTGTGTTGCGTGTGTGTTGTACTTACAATGCACTCCTCGTTGAGGCAGCAGAGATCGCCCGAGGCTGAGGTGGGCTTCCAGTAATGCTCGCCCTGCACCGCATTCTCCGTCCAGTCGGGCACAATGCGAATCGGTCTACGGGCATTGCTCGACGAGGCCGTGCGTCTGTATTGAAAATGGTTAAGATTGGAGTGGAAAAAGTTAGCAATCTCTATGCATATTTAGTTATTCAATGATATGCTTAGCCTAATATATAAAACATTTTTCTCCGTCTTGAAACCACGTCAATTGCACTTTCTAAATAATATTTTTTAAAAAAAAATCATGCATATTTACTTATCATGTATCTGGTATACATATATAAATTCTCTAAATAATTCTTTGTTCACATCTCTCACCGATACACTTACAAAATATATAACTTTTACGCATAATCTTTATTAAATTATTTGAAATATTTTTAATTCGACTGACTTTAAAGTCTTTCAAACTGCCCTCGTTCAGCCACCAATCAGATATATATATATATATATTTATATCAGATTAATTTGCACACTTGCCAACTCAATGGGAATGCTTCTTATTGGAATGTGTCTTAATCAGTGTCCATTTGGAAAGACAGCGGAAATGTCAGCTGTCAGCTCTGTGGCGCACGACAATCCCAACTGCTTTTCCCCAAATTCCAGTGGGCGGGTGGTGCGGCGCGTGCAGCAACGGGACTCACCTTTTACGCCGCCAAGCGCCCACCGAGTCGAGTTTCCTTTGACGAAAAGCCGACTTTCTCTGCATGCCAATTGATGAGCGTCGAAAGCGACGCACTGCGACTGCACTTCCCCCCGCTCCCGCTCCAGCTCCCACTCCAGCTGCAGCTGCACCACTGCATGCAGGCGATGCGACAATGAATTCGCCCTGCTGATTCGACGCTGACGTCAACGCTGAATAACTGCTGCTGCTGCTGCTGCTGCTGCTGCTACTGCTGCTACTACGGCTGCTGCTGCTGCTGCTGCTTCTTCTTCTGACGTTAGCCTTCTGGTCTTCTTCCTCATCTTCCGTTTGGAATTCCTCGTGCACCACGTGCAGCAAACGCTCCATGCTCAGCAACGGCGTTGACGTCGGCGTCGTCGTTGGCGTCGTCGTTGGCGTAGCGATGCTCGCAGCGCTGCTGCTGTTGCTGCTGCTGTTGCTGTTGCTGTTGATGATGTTGTTGTTATTGCCGTCGCTGTCACAGTTCAAATAAGATATGAACATGGCTAGCCCGCGTCGACTCACAGCCGAACCGAATTGAACTGATCTGCTCGCCGCGCTCTCTTCGTCTACGATCTCATTTCACTTCACTTGGATTACTCATTAGATTCGCATTTGATTTTCTGTTTGCATTTGCTATTGCTTTTGGCATCGTGGGCCACATTGTGGCATAGTTTCTCACCCGGCTAACCTGCCTCGACAGCGACTGCGACTGCGACCGCGACGGCGACGTCAGCAGAGACTCTTCTTATCATAATGGCGCCCAGAGATACAACAGTAATGTGAAATCAACACAGATATCGTGCCTAAGCGAGGTGAGTATTCAAAGTTGATTAGTTTTTCACTCAGAGATCTGCATGGATCTTGGAGATCTTGGAGTATTCTATATGTACAATTGGAAGACAGCATTTATGTTTCACTACAATGTTTCGCTAATATCAGCTGTGCTCTGCTTGAGGTCTGGCTGAAACGCTCGGCACTGGAACAGATCTATAGCAGCATAAATATTTGAATGACTAACTACAAATAGATTTCGATTTCATTCCAGCTTCGTCAATATTCATAATTGTCTGAACATGTCAAAAAGTATTTTGGGACTGAACGGAAATGGAAGGCTGAGAGAAGTCAGCTAGAAAAGACAATTGAATGTGGAGACAATGGAGCACACAGCGTGAAGCGGGCATATTAGTTCAGTGGAGAGACTGGAGAATTCCTCTCTGCATTTAATATAATTACTTTCATATTTGTTTGGTTTTTATTATTTGTATTGCATTCACAAATTTATTTGACTTTGAGCTCGCTTCTCCCTCTTTTTTTTTTTTCTTTTGTTTTGTTTTTTGTGACTTCGTTTCTCTCATTTTGTAATTGTTTCACCCGCTGCTATTCAGAACACGAGCACAGAGGCTTGTCTGTGCGTGCTCGGCTTGTTGCTGTCTCTGTCTGTGTGTGTGTGTGTGTGTGTTTGCTTTTGTTTGTGTGCGTGCTTAATACATTTGTATACATTTTGTATATTGTATGCATTGTAATTAAATTCTTATCAGATTCAGATGAAAAACAGAATAACAACAAAATAAAAACCAAGATGAAAATAATAATACAATAATAGTAAAAAAAAAAAAACACAGCGTGACTCGTTCTTCTCTCTCCATCAGCATGTCTCTCTCTATCTCTCTCTCTCTCTCTCTCTCTCTCTCTCTCTCTCTCTCTCTCTCTCTCTTTGTCACACTCCCCCTACGATGGCAAGGCAATTAAGTAAGTGGAGAGCTGCCCTGGTTATTGTTGTTGTTGTTGTTGTTGGCCAAGCAAATTGCAGGTTGTTGCTGGGATTTGCATGTCAATTGTCAGCGTTTAAGGCGTCTACACACTAAAACAACAAAACGTCCCGAGTCCATTTGCAGTTCCTTGTCGATTGCTCAACGCACATACATATCATACATACAGCCAGTATATCAGTGTGTGTGTGTGGGAGGTTTGGGTGTAAATGTCTCATTGCTCTGTGCTGCGTTTGTCGTTGGTGACTGCGATTTTACGACCTTTTTTCGACACGCCCACATTTCATTTCAGTTCCCGCATTTGCCTTTTTCCCCTAGTTTCTTTTTTGTTAGGTGGCAACCCTGTTTGATTCGCCACTCAAACATGGCGTGCATTCTGTTTGCTGGAATTGACGTGGACTCTGACCATGACCTGCCTCACTTTCACACCAGCTCAGCTGCCTCCGCCTCCGCCTCCGCCTCCGCCCCTGCCCCAGCCACAGCCACAGCCCCTACTCCAGCCCCCAATGAACTGGGCGCCTCGTTTCAGCCTGGCCAGCGCACATTTTGTTTTGGAATTTAATAGTTTTCGATGCATTTGCGGATATTTTTAGCGCTTTGGCATAGTTGAGCCTCGGGCTTACACGGGCACAGAGGCCGGCACAGCCCTTTGGGGCTTATGGGCCACCTGTGCCTGTTCCGGCTGCCAATGGCTTATGCTAGTAAATTGGATATTGACTGCAATACCTGTTTGCGAATATAAAAATAGTTTCCAATAAAAAATAGGCGTATCCTGATTTGAAATAGCAATCAATTCTGATCAGAGAGCCAAATAGCATGCAAAGCACTTGCAATTTGTATTGCGCAGTTTATCCCTCTCTCTCTCTCTCTCTCTCTCTCTCCACCCCTCTATGTCTCGCTCTCTCATTTATAATCAGATCAAAGGAAATATAATTGTATATAGAATATCGAATATAATCGACTGTCGCAATAGCAGCCAAGCCCATCTAAGCACGCGCCGTGCCATTGCGCAGCATAAAAGCAAGCAATTCCCAAATAGCAGGCGGAACAGCCGAGTATTTTGGCCGCTATCATTAGCCAGTGGGCCAAACATGGTCCGAAGCGTAATTTTAATCCAAATGCGATTAATTTGGATGCCCGCCTTTGAAGCTGGCTGTACGGCCAAAGCGCTATATGCAAATGGGGAATATGTATCTGAATCTGAATCGGAATCGGAATCGGAATCGGATTCCAAATTCGAAACTAAAACTGAGTGAGTGTGTGAGTCTGACTTTGAGTCTGAATCAATAAATCGGTGTCTGAGTCTGAATGGTCATCGTTTAAGGGACGGACAACTGTCCAGGCGGACTGTACCCCTTTCTATCTGTGTCGGGGCCAGCTGATTAGACGGTGCAGAGCGATGAGCGGAGACCGCATCGCATTCAATGCCAACTGGGCCACGCCTCTGCGTCTCCAACTGCTCTGCTCTCGGTCCGCTCTGACAAAATCAATAAAAACCTTGAGAACATTTTCGTACTCTTTTCAATAAATGACACTTTGCAATTTGCAAATTTGCATTTACGTTTGCGTTTACGTTTACGCCACGAACTAGAAATTCACTCAGCGGACACTCGCCGACTCTTGCGACATAATAAAAATATTATTATTATCGTTTAGCTCTTGCCCACCCTCTCCCGCTCCCCCTCCCTCTCTCACGCTCTATCGAGCAGCCAAAATGATTATGAAAAGAATTTTGCTGTGGGAATATCGCGATATCTTGCCAATAATATTATGACTTTGTTGTAAGAGCCGCATCGCATTTAGTATATATGTACATACATATATAATAAATATTTGCATATATTCCTTTGTGTGCTCGTAAACGATAAGCATTTGCCATTTAGAGCGCACTCAAAGCGAGTTACAACTGCACAAACTCAAAGACAATCAAGAATCTTCAAGGTGCTTCGCCTGCCCGTTCTTCGTTAATTAATGTTGAATATATTTGCTATATTATTACTATATAATTTCCATATTGTGCTGAACTCTGCTTAATTCTTTGCGAAACAAAGTGAGATAACATCTTGTTTCATTTCAGCAAATAAATATATTTTTTATATTCGAAAAACAGGACTACAAAAAATATTGCGTGTAATTGTTTGCCAGCACAGTAAATTTAGCGCTAAAATATTATTTAATTTTGAGCATGTTAAAAAAGTATTTTGATGCACTGCCTGTGCGTTAATGTAGTCCATATATTGTGCAGAACAAATCCACTTTTTTCCTACATGGCTTAGATTTGCGGCTTTTTGCTATCATAGTGCGTATAACAGTTGTGCTGAAAAGTTTTTTGCCCCACACGCAGTTAGAATTGCTGCTCGGCAACCAAAAATACTGCTAAAGTTAAACCTTAGATTAATCAAAATTATTCGGACTTGGCTCTAGCTAAAAGCATCCAAAAAAGTCATGGATCTAAAGACATCATGTGTATGAGGAAGACTCGGAACATGTACAGTGAAGTCTCAATAATTCGAAATGGCAAGGAGATATTTTTTTTTTTTTTTTTTTTTTTTTTTTTTTTTTTTTTTTTTTACACGATTTACATTATCGACAACAAATTTCGTCCAAGGCCATATAACTTTTTTTTTCCATTCACCGTGATTTTTTATT